TTCGTGAATGAACCCAACAGCTGCCCTAACACGCTAACACCAACAGCTTTTCGCCGTCAAAAGGTATCTGAGAACATCGAAATGCAGGCGTGGTATGTGGAGCGGTGACTATGCTTTATTCTATTCTATTTTTATCAAACCCTAGGAGCGGCTGGCTTATATTGATAACCCGGACAATCAACCACTCTGACCAGTCACCATTCTAGCCAAGTGCGAAAAAAACCAAAAGCAATGGCATCGGAAAAGGCATCGTTCCACGACTGCACCCAGCAGCAGCATGTAGGAAACTAAGCTTAAGCTTTGGACTGTCTGCGGCTCAGAAACAAGCCAGTGCCAAAAGCAGGACAGTCTCATTGCCATCGCTATCGAGCAATGGCAACCTCTATGCTTAATACCGTATTTACTCGCGTACTGAACGCACTTTCTTTTCTCGAAAAATCGAAGCAAAGTTGGGGGGTGCATTTATTACGCGGGGTAAATTTTATGAAAGCTTTCTCTGGAGGAGCAAAAAATGCGGTAATAAAAAACAGTTAGGTCACTTTGCTTTGCACAATTGACATACGCGTACACCGTTTGGAAACAGCTTCTTTGTTGCACTTTACTCATCTTCGGTGGTTGATGGAGCTATCTTTTGCAAGCTGTACCGGGGCTGCCCGCACACACCATAAAACCGTTTTGCGGCTATCTTTTCTCGCAATTGCTTAAGGGGGGACGCGGCACTTCGGGACCAAAAATCAGCCAAAAAATCGAGTTTTCGCGGACCTTCTTTTCGCGTTCCCGACATCATTGCGCACTTATTTACAAAATTTCATAGCCGAATACCATCAACTTTTATCGTTATTCAACTTTAAAAAACCGAAAACGGGCGTCCTGCCCTTTAAATTGAGGGCGAATAGCGCAGGTTTCGGCTCTACGATACGCGGGAACTACGCGCTCGATCGGCGCCATTTTGGTCTTGTTTGAAAGAACGCGTTTTCAGCTGTTTTTTTTTATTCAGTAAGCAACATTGAGCGTTTCCCCGGCTCGAAAAACGGGGCCTCAAACCGAAGAGCCGCGCTCACTGCCATTGGCTAAACGGCGCACGTGACTGAAATGGCGCTTTCCGGTTGGCTGGAAGCTCGCGGCTTGCGCCTGCATACGCGACCCGACGCCATTTTGAAAGGGTTACCGCTGTGACGCCTCGAAATCGGCAGAGCACTCTGAAGCTTCTGATCGTATCGCCATGCCTGGAAACGCAAAAAAGTATCGGACCGTGCACGCATTTGGTCGCAGGAAACGCAAAGGTCGTGGGAGAAAGTCTACGAAGTCATCAGAGCTCTTGGTTGACTCCGACGAACGATGTGTCGACGCTCCGCGGCCGTTCAGCGATGGTGCGACCGAGCGCGTTGCCTCCGACGACGATGACGGTGAAGCGAACTCCGGACGACTACGAATCGACGCCAAGGTGGTGACAAACGCCGAAGTTGAAGAAAATCATGCCCGGGAGAAAGCGACGCTCGACCGGCTGTCATCGGCGCCAGCAACTGCACAAAAAATTGACTTTTTCACCGCGAGTTGTAGCGAGGCAACCGCACAGGACTCGGACCACGCTGCTCCTTATCTGCTTATGCATCTAGATATCCTAAACGCGATAATGGGTGCCTTGTGTTGCAAAGCCTGCCACGGACCGGCTACGATCGTCAGAGGGGATCGGGACTACGGACTTGCCGTGAAAGTGCTAGTGCAGTGTGAAAGGTGCGGCGAGATCGCGAATGAATGGACTTCGCCCCGCGCGAACGGCACGAAAACGTGCAATCCGTTTGAAGTAAATCTTCTCGCTTCGAGAGCGATGGTGGCTACCGGCAACGGCCAAACGAAAATGAACGATATTTTCGCAACAATGGGCATCTCACACCGCGGTATGCACCACAAGACGTTTCAGCGGCATTTGAAGAACACGTTGGCACCCGCTGCAACGCGAGCGGCTGAGTCCGCTATGAGCGAATGTGCGGAAAAGGTTAGAACAATTTATGATGACTTGTGCTTCGGCCACCGGGGCAATATTGCCGTTAGCTACGACGGCACGTGGAAGACGCGAGGCCATTCTTCCCACATCGACGTGGGCATAGTTATCGAATTATTTAGTGGCTACGTGTTGGACTACGTCGTTCTTTCCAACTTTTGCCTAGGCTGCGAGGTGGGCCCAAAGCCTAGTAGTGAGGGCTATCAAGAATGGAAGGCTAACCACAAATGCCAAAAAAATACGAACAGCAAAGCGGGGCAAATGGAAGTGGAGGCGGCTCTAATTCTATTTCAGAGGTCGCTTGAACGCCATGGCCTGCGCTACACAACTATGCTGTCTGATGGAGACTCTAGGGCATTTTGCGCCATACAAGACGCCAAGGTGTATGGTTACATTGACGTGCAGAAGGAAGACTGTATTAATCATGTACAGAAACGGATGGGCACCGCATTGAGAAACCTGGTGCAGAAACAAAAGTGCGATGGGAAAAGAGGCCTTGGTGGGAAAGGCAGGCTCACAGGTGAGCTGATCACCAGGCTGAGCACATATTATGGCCGGGCTCTGAAATCGCATGAAGGTGACGTGGGCGAGATGCAAAAGGCTGTGATGGCCACATACCGCCACGTCACCTCCACTGATGAATGCTCGGACCACAGTCTGTGCCCAGCTGGTGAAACTTCATGGTGTCGGCACAATGCCGCAAAAGCAAAGGGTGAGCCCGACCCCAGGCATGCCTACAATCTACCGAAAGACGTGGCAGAGGCATTACTACCGGTTTATACCCGGCTTTCGGAAAGAGCCCTGCTTCAGAGGTGCGAACGCGGCAAAACGCAGAACTCCAACGAGAGCCTACATTCGGTAATCTGGAGTTTGGCCCCCAAGGAGCACCATGCGTCCCTGTTCGCTGTTGAAGCAGCTGTTGCAGAAGCAGTGCTGCGCTTCAACACGGGCAATTTGAATTCTGCAACGGCAATCTTAGGTGAAATGGACATGAATGCGACAAGTACTGGTGCCAGGAGAGCGAGAGAAAAAGACCACCGTCGCAGCATTGTCTCCAACAAGAAAAGAACAGCCTCATTGGAAATCCGGAAGCTAGTGAAGAGGAGGCATGAGCACAGAATGCATTCAGACTATGCTTCTGGTGCGTTTTGAGGTTGTCTTGTTGCATCTTCTGCAATAAAAATGTGTGCCCACGTTTTTTCTCGATTTCTCAAAACGACAATTTTCATGTGCTTCCCATTATGCCGGAGCAATATCTCTTGTTCTATCTGGGTTATCATTACGATTTCTTTTTTGTTTCGAAGATAAATGCAGGAGATGTGTCGTAAAGTAAGTTTTATTGTAATAATTTTTGGAGAAAATTCTCTAAATGGATCTTTTGTTTCAAGTGTAGATGGGGAAATTTTTCACGTCATATTCAACATCCCACAACTTTGCTTCGAAATAGCCCAGAACAATGATTTATACTTTATTGCACACTGTGAACATACCGAATTGGTTCTATAGGTTGCACATCAATATCCAAGTTACAGTTAATTAGCTAATTAGGCCTTAATTGAAAAAGTCGCAGTTCATTATATCTTTAAAACTAATTGTCACAGCAAAAAAAGAATTAGATTTTTGAAATCAGCAGTAAAATCTACATAGGCTCTCCAAATTTGACTGAGGTACTCGCAAAAATAAAAGAGTTTTTGGAAGGTGTAGCATCCCCCCTTAATCGCAACAGTGGTATCTGCTGTGATCTTGAGGGGCGCCCAAAAGCGTGCTCTATGACGCTGCAACCTCGTTAACATTGTAGCAAGTAACCAACATTGCAGCAAGCTACCCCCAAAGCATCAAAACGAATCGTCGATAACAAGATTAACGACGAAATACAGGTGCCGCCTCGCTTCTACATGAAAAGTTCCTGTACACGCAGAGAACAAGCGAAGCGAGAATCGGGGGTGCTACCATGTTGTTGAAATCGTTACGATCTTTTCTGGGTAACAAGCAATTTTTTCTGGTTTTCCAGAAACCTGCGACGCGATAGTGACGAATGACCTTTCGCGACAGCGAATCCTGTCGTCATCGCTGGAAAATCGCATGCACGTGGTTGGGCTTTTTTGTATTCGCATAAAGCCACCGTCGGTTGGTGCGGGCAGTTTCGTGAGCATCACTCGCTATGTGCTTATCAGCTGCGATGTTTCTACGCTCACACCATTCGTGAACCCACTGTGACGCAAAGATTAAAAAAAAAAAGGGGGGGGGGGGGGGGTGTGCCGGGCACAGATAGAAAAACAATACAGTACACAGCAACGGACGAAGGGGGGGAGGGAGTGGCCAAGTGGGGTCTGCAAAATAAAAAAAAAAAAAAATGGAAGAAATCGAACGGGTAAGGAGCCGGCAGGTGTCGGTTAGCCGGACTACAGCGGGTGAATGTAGAGAGAGTGTTTATTACGCGACAAAAAAAAAAAAAAAAAAAAAAATTATTGACTGAAGTTGGGGGTGCGTTTATTATGGGAGTGCATTCATTACACAAGTAAATACGGTAAATATGGTGGCGGTTTATTGTGGTGCCAATAGCGCTTTAGATAACGTAGACGTATTTTGACGTTCTAAATAGGTATCAAAATGTTCAAGATTGTGTTTACTGCACAGCATTAAATATCGGAGACTCCTATGAATATCAGAGACTCTTATGGACTGCTGATGGGGAACCAAGAATTGTTCGTTGTAGCGGAAATTTCATTGAAGTGGCATGCATTGTAGCAGGGTTCGATTGCAATTTCACAAAAATTACAGCATTGCAACAAGCACGTTAAGAAATTCATACTTATGATAGGGTGTATGGAAGACTACGTAGAGAACAAACATGGTAATATACTCTTTTTTTTTGTGGCATGTGGTGACTAGCCAAAATAAAGCAAATGATGAAATTTCACCTGGTCTAGATAAATTCGTTTGTACAGTTGTTGGGACTCGTGTTTACGAGAGGCAGTATATGCAGATGCCCACTTACTGGTGGAGCAATAGGTGATTTTGCACGAGAGGTTGTCTCGAGTGATGTTGGTGTTTGGCTGTGGCGGGTCCACGAATGTCTGGCACATCAGGCACACAGTCAGCCGAACACGTACGCACTTGCCAAGCTGCAAACGAACAAAATGCACTTGTTAATCATCACAAATCTTGTCAGTGATTAAGATAGCTGAGCCTCTAATTCTCATGAGGAGTGCACAGTTAGTGCAATAGCTATTGCAAGACTGCAAGTTAGTTAACCAGTTGAGCAGAGCGATTGAGAACTGCAGTGACACTAAACAATAAGCACAGATTTTTATAGAGCCAGCAGGTGACACAAGAAACAATGAGTGTTTTAGGAGTCGGATGCTGTCAAGTCAACGTGATATTATGTGCAGGTACTATTACCGAACACCAGTCAGCAGTCGCTGAGCAGTTGAGGTGGCATCCAAAGAAAAATGTGGCATTCAACTGAGCTGGCACTAATTACCTTACCGGAGGAAATTAAACAAGCTATTGATAGAGGGTTACTTGTGGGACCTGTGTTTATCGATTTGACGAAGGCTTTTGACACTATAAATCATCACGTTCTACTTGCTAAACTCGAATCATTTGGTATGTCCGGTCCGCCACTAAGTTTTATTAAGAGCTACCTCAAGAACCGGTCTCACATGGTTCATGTTAATGGCCATCTTTCAACGCCCAAGTTAATTAACGTTGGTGTTCCACATGGATCAATTTTAGGCCCACTTTTATTTTTGATGTTTATTAATAATCTACCTACCATTCTTACAAGGACCAAGTGCATACTTTACGCTGACGACACAACCATCTTTCAGTCATCTAAATCAGTTTCTTCACTCCAGTCTGACCTCAACACAGATTTACATAAGATAACTTTATGGTGCCAGGCCAATTATCTTCAGATCAATGCTACTAAAACCGTGTTTATGTTGTTCCATTCCCCGCGCATTTCACTTGACATACAACCTTCCCTTCACATTGGTAATACCGTCATAAACATTTCCATTGAAGCGCAGTTTCTTGGCGTCATCTTAGATAGCGAACTAAAATTTCATAAACATGCAGCATCACTCGTTAAAAAGATTGCATTTGGTATTCACATTATCATCAAGACACAAACTTATTTTCCACCTCACGTCATACGTACTTTGTATTTTGCTTATATTCACAGCCATATTTCGTATTGCGTATCATCTTGGGCCAACACATACTTCACGCACATCGAACGTTTGCAACGACTTCAGAATCAAGCAGTTAGATTAATAACTTTCAGCCCATTTTACTTCTCCTGCAGCTCGTTGTTTCCTCAGCTTAACATACTCCCATTGAGACAATTATTTTGTCATAGAATGTCCATTGTCGCTTTTAAACTCATCACGCATGACATTTTTATTGCATGCATTGATCATCGTCACTTAACTAATGGTAACATCACCCGGTTTTCCCAGTGCAATAATCTGCTTTTACCGGCCGTAAGGACAAACTACGACAAGTTCTCAACCTTATTTACTAGCATAGCCATTTGAAATTCATTGCCTTTCAAATTGAAATCATCGCATAACATCCATATTTTCACTTCGCGCAGTAAGGAATATTACGTTCAGGAATTAATCAACTCATCCGATTTGTGTAATTAACTGTTAATAGCTCTCCACAGTTCTGTGCTATTTTACTACTTCAATTTGCCTTTGTATAATTGATAACACTGATAATGAAACATTTTGCATTTGTCACGTAGAGTTCATTAATATTGTTTTTTGTCTTCACTTGCTTTCGACTATTTCCTTGTTATTTTTAAATAGTGAGTATTACCATTATGTTGTGTATTGATCGTATTTTTATTGTTAATCAAGATTATTCATTATTACTCACAAGTCCGTATACTATTGCTGTATTTTTTGTAATTACCCCATCCATGTAGCCATAGGAGGTCCCCCTGTCAGTTTCTCTGAAACTTTGGGACCTCCTGCTGTAATAACGCTAACCTTGTAACTCAAGTGAACTATTTATTAAACTTGACTTGACATAATTACTGGTATCTACAGTGCTCAAATCATTTATTTCATTACCCTTGTCACAAATCACCATCCTATGAATGTTGAAAACAAAAGATCGTTTATATACTCAAGCCCTACTGCTGACGCCTTCGAGCTTACAAAACGGGGTCACTGGCACTTGTAAATTTCTAGCCTTCCCTTTCGACTGTCTCAAAGTGTATTTACGAGACATCTGAATTAGGTTGATTCGCATCAAGTTGCTAAATTGCTTGGTGCTACTACCTCTACACTACCGATGGCTGGGTACATGGCTTTGTGCATGTCGAACATAGCGCATGTGCAGAACGCCTGCTATCACTTCGTAAACTTCATGAAACAGGGTAGACTAACAAATTAAGCTTCTTCGATTCCAGTTAAGCTTTTACAATCAATATCTCATGGTAGATTGAACTGTGGAACATTTCAACAAAAGTTTTCTGTTTCTCTGTCGTATGTGGATGTGAGCCCTCCCACTTTTTTTTAAACCTTCTCGTACGTACAGGCACGTTAGGAGTGTCGCACGAGTTGTTACAGACGATCCAGACGTCATGGGCATCGGGGTCCTCTTCGTTGGGTGCCCGTGCCATGTGTGACCAGAAGAGGGCATCTCGCTGGGTGGCTGGCCACACCCGCTTGTGGATCTGGTGGACTATGACAGTCATGGGCTCTAGCACCTCAAGCACTTCCATGCTCTCCAGGGTCGCTGCAGGTAAAGCGAACAAGGTAGAAACAATATACAGTTAAACCTGGATATAACAGAATTAATAAATATCCGGAAAAATTCGTTATAAAGAGGATTTCGTTATATGCGGGTTTGGTACGAACATTTGGAAAATAAACAAGCAAATTTAACAAAAGGGGGACAGAAGGCAAAGCTAACCAAAACACTTATTTTACAGTAAAAAGCTGCGTTATTGTTGCGATACCAATATATGGACACTCGCGGTGGGTTTTTACCATCGCCACCATGTTCCGTAACAAGTCCTAATTAATAATAAATATGCCCCCGCGCATCCTAACTTTCACGGGCGGGTGAAAGTGCGCGAGCGCTGCTGAAGCAGAAATCAAATGAGTCGGCCCATCCCTATTGCCTGAAAAGTGCATAACATCTCCTGCGTGTTGTTAGAAATGCCATCGAGTGCTCGAACGAGCATGAAACAATGCAGGAAGGGTGGGAGGGGGGGACTGTGTGAAAAGAGCACTTCTCTCTAGAGCGGCCATATGCTCACACCAGCATTTTTTTTTGTAGGAGTTTCGCGATATCGGATCCAAAAGAGTTGGCTGCCAGCCTTACTTCTTATAACATTACAATTGTTTGCTATCGCGATCGTTGTGTTGCATTGAATGCACTGCCATGTTGCAAAAACTAATTGGCTAATTGCAAAAGCTACCAGCCTGCGAACTCACGGCGCGGCGAAAAACGGAAGCGCGTGACAAATCAACCTCCTAAGATCTGTCGTTGCCGCGGTCTCGGAGAGTTTCCATCAGCGCCTAATCTGACATTCCCTCGATGGTGAGGACACGGTTGTTTGAAATCAATAAAAATCACAGTTTCGCCGCAAGGGCAGAGAAATGAATGCATTAACAACAACTTGGAATGTAACGCTTAGAATGGCAAGCAGATCAAAATGTGCAGCACGCTGCTCACACACAAATGATGCACGAAAACAACATACACAGGACTACAGCAAACTAGCAACATTTACCACTCGACCCTTAACGCATTGCTTAAACAAAAAACGAGGCACGAAATGTAATGAGTGCGAATTAACAAATGCATCAGTTGTTACTGCGCTGTGTTTAAAAAGCCTCAGTCTTTTCGCAAACGGCGCCTGTCCAGCGAGCAAAGTGATCTTTGTATACACGGCAACTAAAGGCAAACGTTCCGGTCAAAGTCAAAGGCGCGCGATTCTCCCCACCGAAGTATAAGCACCTATGCACACGCATCTAACTCCTCGCCATTCGCGGGACAAAGTACACGTGGGAGAAGAGCGCGCGTAGGCGCACCTTGACGAGCTGGGTGCCTAGCGCGGGTGGCTTTTTTTCTTGAGTTTTCATGTATAAGTACGTATACATATATGATGAATGGCAGCGGCGGCAAAAATACAGTAAAGACTGTCCATGTAACTGCTATCGCAATAAAAAGAAAAAGAAAGCAAGCAAAGCTGAACGTCGTCTGGGGCCACACTATGAGTGCGCAGTGAAACTATGCAGACACGCGCGGCGTCGAAAACGACGAGCGAACGACACGGACACAGACACGGATACCGCAGAAAACTATTCGGTAAAACGCCCTCCATATGCAGCACGGCCCCACATATGTGACACTACCTGAACATATGGCACTGCCAACGCACAAAAGTAGTTTTTTTTTAATCGGGGAGGGGGGGGTGCACTCCATGCAGGCTCGTGGGGTGTAGGCCCGCCTACCCGCCTCACGCCGACGCGGCACGCGTGGCTTGCCGCCGCGGCATCACGCTTGGTCGGCAGCAGGGCGGCCGTCGAAGATGCTTGCTCGCACCAAAATGACAAAATGCGGAGCAAAGTTCCTAGGTCTTCCTTGGGGCAAATTCGTTACATCAAGGTTGTCTCCTGCTGTTGCTTTGTTACATAGAGGTCACAAACACACGAGCTTCTATGGAGCGACGGCAGAAAATAGAAAAACTTCGTTATATCGAGGAATTCGTTATGTGGAGGTTCACTATAAGCAGGTTTAACTGTAAACAACTACAACTAGGTATAAAACTATGAAGTAGTATGGTCAACAGTTGTGCGAGAATGAGGATTTGTGATTGGCAGTCAGCCTGAGCTACGAAATAAAATAGTCTTTTTAAGGTCCCTTGAACCCTTTATTAAAAGGGAATGTACAGAAGGATAAAGTTGAGTTGACCGGCATTGTCCCACATTATCAAACCAGCACAAAACAGAACCACTGCATTCTAGCGGTGCTAACATATACGGGGAAATGCAAAGGTTAAGAAATGAGAAAGCAGTGAAAAATCTTAAAGCTGTGAAAACTGAACCACTTAAGAAAATGAAATGCCAGGATAATGAATTTCCAATTATATTAATGTACCGTATTTACTCGCGAAATCCTCGCACTAGCACAATTCTCGCACCCCCACATCGCCCAACAAAAATACGATTTCTTTTTTTTTCCTCGAGTATTACCGCACCCCCGAAAACTGCTGCAATAATGTCGTCTGCTCTTTTCAGCCACTGATGATGACAGCGCGTCACCTGGCGCCATCTCTTAAGCATCAAGCGTACTATTGCACAGAGATTCAATCCAACTCAAACCAAGCCGAAGTGGCCAGTGCGCGTTGCGGCGTGTTTTGTATGTTGCGTCGGTAACCTTGTCAAGTTATGAGGCTATACTTAAGCTGTACGGCTGCTTTCAAGTTGCAAGTGATAGATAATGCACTAAAGAACGGCAACAGGGCCGCAGGTAGGCCCTTGGGATTGATGGTAAACTTTATTTCTTAAGAAGGAAACTGCGGACAATTCTGTTAAATAGCCATCAGCCCAATACTGACGTCCCACGCTTACCTTTTGAGGGCTCCTGTTGAGCGACGAACGCTACCGCTACGCCTGCAAGCTTTGCGTATGGTATTCTAATTCTCGACTATTTGCTTCCACTTTTTGTGTCTCAATTAAATCTTGTCTTGTGTTGAACCTCTGCTTTTATTGTTGAGGTAAGTTTTAATTAGTACTTCTTAAAGCGTGCTGTTAGTCGCTTGTGTGAGAATCCCGATTTGCTGCCACTTCGTTTTCTTTTTCGCTCTGTACGTTTTCGTAGAAAGTTTCCCCGCGTAATTCTCGCACCCCCCCCTCTTTTCATCGGTTTTCCGGCAAAAAAAAGTGCGAGGATTATGCGAGTAAATACGATAAACTGCTCTAGTCTCTCTACCAGTAAGTGTTGGGGGGCACATAAGTTTCATATTAAAGAAGTATTATTACATTCAGTCATATGAGGCAGGACCTGCATCAAGCTGCATTGTACAAGTGAAGTCTTTAAAACGTACAACATTTCTACGGGTGTTCGGCAAAGACCTCCCTAATTCGTCGTAAGCACGGGCCTTGCAAGCTTCTTTGGCCTGTCTAATCTGCACTGCTTATGCCATCGCAGGTTCAGTTCAGAAACAATTATGAACACGGCATCAGTGCCCTCCGTGGCTTTGTAATGGCTGTAAAAAATAAATTATTCAGCAGCATTGTCTGATGGCATTTCCGTGCTCAGAATCAAGATCTATTCGCGCAAGCTCTTAGAATAAACATCTAGATCATTTCTAAAGCTTTTTTTCCCCCCTTACTTTGGGCTCCTTCTAAATAGGGACTGCGGCTCTCTGTTTAGTGCAGCCCTTGTTCGGATATGCACAGCATTGACAAGCAAGCTTAGCACACCCTGTACAGTTAAACCTGGATGTAACCAACCTGAATGTAACGAACCTGATTGTAACGAATTCTTGGATTTAACGATTTTTTTTCAATCCCGAAGGTGTTGCGGTAATTGACCTATATGCAATAAATTTTTGGCATTGATCATTTCTTATTTTGAGTCGTAACACTGCTAAAATATTGTATGTACAATGCGCAAGTTCTATAATACGAAAATTCATAAAACAACGGAGCAGCTGTGGGTAGAATGCATGTCAATGCAGCAGGCAAGTGTGTGTCGCGATGATGATACAAGCATCACTAGAATAGGTTGTGTTGTGTAGCGGGGAACTTTGCGACGCCTTTGAGATGGTAATGTGGTGCACCATCTCAAAGGCCACGCTGTGCAGCTTTTGCTTGCGAGATGCGTCGTCTGATGGCGTTACTGTGCCGAACGGGTGAACGAAGCGATGAGACGGGTCGGGTGCGAGCCGGGAGCGTCAGGCATTCCAGGCATTTCCTAGTCTCGTGTTAGGCCTCTCAGCTGCCCTCGTTGTGAAAATGAGGTCCGTGCCGAGAAAACGCAAGGTTTTGTCTTTTGAAGAAAAGTTTGCGATTGTAAACGCGGTTTCCACGGGTGAGAAGAAGAAGGACGTTGCTACGCAATTTCAGCAGCTGCCTGTCGACGATATTGAGTGCGAAAGACAGCATCCGCAAGACAGCGGAGTCGAGCACGGGTGCAGAGAAGAAAAGACTGAAGAAGTCAACGTACGCCGAAGTGGACAAGGCTGTCTGCACCTCATTTCTGGACACACAGGCACGCAACGTACCCGTAAGTGGCACAATTATGCAGCAGAAAGTGAAGATACTGCGTGTATTCTTGGCCATGACGATTTCAAGGCAAGTAATGGCTGGCTTCAGGGGTTCAAGAGCCGGAACTGTGTCGTTGGTAGAGTGATTAGCGGCGAGTCTGCATCTGCTGACAGCGATGCCTCTGCCTCGTGGGTGGCCAAGAGTTGCCTGACATCTCTGGACCGCTATGAGGCGGCGGACTTGTACGACGCCGATGAAACGGCATTGTTCCATCAGATGTTGCCGAATCACACGTGGAGTTCAAAGGGCACGATTGTCGAGGCGGCAAGCAGAGCAAACTACGGGTCGCAGCCTTTCTTTGTGCAAGCAGTGATGGCGGCGACAAAAGGATACCATTAGTTAAAGGAAGAAATGCCCGGCCAAGGTGTTTTAAAGGCACGAAGCAGATGCCAGTTAAGTTCGTGGCCAATTCGAAGGCCTTGATGAGCAGAGAAACCTTCACTGAATGACTGACGGCATTCAACAAACATGTCAAGCATCAGGGCCGCCAAAAATGTCTATTGCTTGACAATTGCTCCGCGCACCACATCGAAGGCATTCAGCTGTCGAACATCGAGCTGCAATACTTCCCTGCCAAATGCGTCATCTTTAACGCGGAAGATGCGAGCCAAAATGACACAGTTTTTTTGTGCTAAATAAATATTTTTTAGGTGAGTGGCACTGCATTGGCATCTGCCGCGTCTTCGTTTGGTTTTCGTGATAGTTTCTCTAGTATTTACTTAAAAAACTGCATGTAACGAAAACCTTGATGTAACGAAAACTCGCAAACTTTTCCAATTTCGTTACATCCAGGTTTAACTGCAGTGAACTCTTTGGTGGTTATTTATAGACAGACACTGCACCTCCTAAAGGAAAGACACTTAAAGGGAGATGCTACTCGAAAAAGGTTTTTTTATTTCATAACCCAGCTCCTTGAAATTTTAGGTGTTAGTAAAGCTTGCAGTGCTGATTTCATAACTGCAATTATTTTTTTGATAGCTATAGTAGTTCCGGAGTTACTACAACTTTGATATCAAAATATAGTGTTTGTTGTGCACATAATAAAGCTTACTAAAAATTTTCACACAGAATTGCAAAATGGCTCATTCTGCTGCACTTGAGCAGTACAATACAGAAAAGTACCTCAAACAGAAAATTTATTTGCTAAATTAAAAAAAAAAATTAAAAGTACTAAATGCATATTTTACATCTCTCTATCAGTGTATCAAGTTGTGTAACAAAAAATCTGTGATGTATAATGCAACCTAAAGTAGATACTTGTATTCTAGAGTGGCTGATTAAGCTCTGTGCAAAATTTCATCAAGATAGGACTATTTTATGCCTAAAAAAGATTGTGCACAAGATGAGAGAATTACCTCAAAATGGAAATCGAGAAAAATGCATTTGAAAGTTGTAAATATGTTTACTCATGATTACACAGTGCGATTTGCACAAAACTTGGTGATATCACAGAAGGGACACAGCTAGAGCACCTAAAATTGTCCTGCTCTATATGTGGATCCTTCTCGTCGCTTGAGAAGGGAGTCATCAAGGCGCGCTTTCTTTGCCACGTTCCGCCGATGGGCCCTTGCCTCGGCTGTTTCACACGCAGACATTCTTTCGATTCTCCTCTGGTCGCGGGATTGGCCCAGGGTGATCAGTTGATCTGGTGGGACTACACCAAGCTCCTCTAGCACGTGTTCAAAGCTTGAATGTCCTTTATTGAACCGCAACACGGCCATAGCAGCTGCAGTTTCCACTGTTGTCCGGGAGGCAAACTTAGTCTTCGGACACAACAACCAGATTTTGCTGTTCAAAGATTCTGCAGCGTTTTGGGTCTTCCCTTGGATACAACGCACCAGCAACTTTTCATCTGTGAGCCGCTTGTAAATGGGAAGCACAGCCAATCCTTGAGCCTTGGTCAAGATTGGTGTGTGGTCGGGTGGGGCCTCCCCAAGTGCTTCGGCTCGCCTATGCTTGCACCAGGAAGTCGCCCCTTCTGGACAGTATCGGTGGCTGCCTGCTGTAATGCTCGATGATGAATGGAAATATGAGGCCCAGATGGCACGATGCTTTTTCAGAATATCACCTCTGTTGTTTGTGATTGCAATACGGTAATAGTTCTGCAGCTTCTGAATTGTGCCATCTGTCAGCTTTTCCCCTCGTGGAAGTCGTGTTGGCAGTTTCCGAAGTGCAGTGCCTAGACGCTTGGCCACATGGTTTGTGCACTCCTCCTTGTCCACAACAGCTTCACCATATACCTTGGCCTCAGCGACAGCGGTATAAGCTTTGCTGTCCCCATCACTGAGGAACTTGGTGAAGCGCAATGGTGTTGTGTAAGAGGATGTCCTGCCCCATATGCGCAAAGCTGCCTCAGTCTCCATGGCATGAGAGGAGCACTCTGTATTTTTTTCGCAGACAGGTGTGTGGAATGCTTGCCATATTTCTTCCTCATCACCCAAGTCCTGGTGCCGGCTACAGGCAAGGCAGTAATTCGATAGCACTTCAAAATCTAGGCACAAACCAGTGTCCACAGACACAGCAGTGCCGATGCCATTGTGGCTCTTGTGCCCTCTTTTTTGCCATGTGCCATCATACATGACAACAACATCAGCCCCATCCACTTTCTCTTTAGATATCATCCGCGCTTTCGCCAGGTTTTCTTGCACAGCTTTGGTAGCTGCAGCATGAACTTTTTTGCCGATTGCAATAAAAGTCTTATGATGCATAGGTATTGGCAGTCCAAGAATAGCGCAAAAACGCGACAGCTGTTCATGCCCAATGCCTATTGCACGCGCAGCCACAACTACCTTCACATTGACAGCGAAGCTGTCGCGCGAGCTGCCGCTTCGGTAGCTCCAGTCATCACCGGCATCGGTGGGCTGTCTTTCCGGCAGAACACGCCGCGAACTATGCGCGGCAGAAACCACTGACTCAGGACACTCACTGTTATCACAGTGCAGCTCGAGGAACGAAGAGAGGCCCTTACGTTTACTTGCGGTGTCGCGAACGACGAGTCCAGCGGTGTGGCATGTTGGACAAACAGCACGGCTTACCATCGATGTCAGTGCGCCGATGTCACAAAATACTCCACTCACAGAGCCACAAACACTCTTCGTTCTTTCGCTTTCGAACTGTTCAATATTTTTTTCTGATGCGCTGATGAACTTGATCGCGGCGTCGATTTCGTCAAAGTTCCCGCAAGCCGCCGTATCCCCGCTGCCTTGATTAGGCCTAGTGGCCCGCGGCTCGCATTCTTCTACCGCTGCTTTGCGCTTCGGATTACGTCGACGCCCTTGGTACTTGTTCTTGCTTGAAAACTTTCGTGCTCCGAAGTCTCGCTTTTTCGAGTTAACCATGGTGAACTCGGAAAAACATAGAAACGCACGGCAAGTGCCGATCGTCGCAAGCGCTCAGCGAGCGAGGCCGATCAGATGTAGCCAATGGCGGCCTCGGTAGCGTACCATGTGACCGGTAGAGATGCGCGAAGCGGCTGCAGCTTGGCTGTAAACAGACTTGGAAACGACTGTTTTGTGAAATTCCTCACTAAAATACGAAACTAGGGGGACGCCTGTACACTAGAAGGAGCCTTGATCTACACCACCGAACAAACCCCGATGGCGGACGTCATCGTGTTGCCGAGTGGCGGATTTTCAAAAATAGCCGTCGGATGCGTGAATTCGCGACTTCGGCAGCTACCTTCACTAGCGCAGATCGACTTTTTACCACTTTCTTGTTTGAATTCAGCTATGACCTTTGGGGAAATGGTAGTTGAATGATCAAAAGTGATTTTAGAAGCAATATCTCAAAAGTGGAAATTTTCGCAAAAAACGCGATTTTTCGACCCGCATCTCCCCTTAAAGCCAGATACGAAAGCACCAAAGATAAACTGCCAAAATGAAGTGAACTCACTCTCCCAGTCAAAGCGCACTTCCGGGCTGTAGAAGTAGTGGCAGACCTCGCGGCCTGTGACACCGCGTACAATATGCACAGCCTTGAGGGGGTCGCACACGATACCACCCTCTTCCACTTCTCTCCGGTACATCTTCATTTCCCCGTCTTCGGCGAACAGTTGCCAACCGCCTTCACCAACACCCATCTTGGCGTAGCGCAGCTGTTCCATTGTAATCTCCTCCACCTGCATAAGAATTTACAGAGTTACATTCGACACATAGCTGACAGAGTCATACTGATATTGTGACACAGCCATACAGTGCCCTCTCTGTTTTCTGTAGGTGACTGCTAATACTACACATGCAACAATGAGTTTACAAAGCATAATGCCCTAGAGAAACCCTAATTCAGTGAGCAGTGGCTGTTGTGCAGATGCACCAGTTCATAAGCGAACTCACGGAGCACGTTTCTGTGGTTCACCAAGAATCCTTACATTGAAAGCCAGTGAATTTGGCAAAGACAAAATCATAATCTGTAGTGTATTCGACAGAATGTAGGCCTACAGAGGGATCCTTTTGGTTGGCATAAACAAATATAAATTGCCTTAGATGATGTCATAGCACTCGTTTTTACTCAGAACATAATGTAACACAATGTTCATTGTTGAAAATACGTTTTAAGTGTGAAACTCTAAATTATTTATTATTTAGCCAATTCGACCAAGTTCGTATTTGTTTAAAATGACGTCCAGTTCAGTGGCATCACATTCAACCACCTAAATAAATGTGACACTACACGTGTTTGCCGGACAAACCACACATCCCATTTTTCATACTGTTTGGGTCTTAGGCACCAACACTACAATATGACGAAAGCCGGAGTCGAGTGTTTCTGAAATTTCGACCCCCTGGGGTTTCTCTACCATGCACGTGGATCTAAGTACATGCATCTACATCTTTTGAAAGTTACTCTACGCACATCCGATGAATTGCTCTTCCATTGAGCTAGCGATTCGTGCAAGTGACGCAGCACATACAATGACCCCTCTGTTCCTTTAAGAAGCCCTCTCGGATGGCAGCGGTGAGACGCAACAATGACCGGGTTCAGCCAGGCAATCAAGACTTGCAGCATCTTTGCATGAGCAACTCTTACTACACTACAGTCATGTCTAGAAGTCTATCAAACCAGACTCAACTAGAAATGTACGAGGATTTGAAGCCCTCGGCACTTCATGAATTGCAGCAGATCCTTCCGGAAAAACGAATGGTTGGAAACACGTAAGTGAAAGGCCTTTCTCGTGTTTAAAATAAGCATCTGTTATGCTGACCGTCTAGTTGTAAATGATTATACATATAAAATGCTACACACATGCTCTCTCTTAATTTCAGATAGATTCCATGCAGCTTCTATTTTTTGCTTCATTCAGAAATGAACTAGTAATTATTAATACAGCATTGCTTGATTATGTGTTTTAGGATAAAAGACACCTCTCATGTCAACAGTCCTTGCAAATGCGGATGCTAATGGGCTCCGTAATATGGTTGACTGGCACTCATTTCCATGTCTGGATAAAAGGCATGGCAACTACATATCAAGCTCTAATTGAACAGAATGACATCGCATCAAACAAAGACAAGGAAAAAAAAATGTTGCAAAGTTAACCAGAGAGACGAGCTATACACAGAGAAGTCAGCAGTGCGGTGCAGCTTACCAATGCTGGCGTTGTGTACCTAATGGTCCTCCTAAACTTCTTCGTCATGATAACTGCTACAACAACAATGAACTAATCATTACAACTGATCTTTGCAGCAATCCTCTGTAGAGTGCGCGCACAGCCAAAAAAGGCTCTCGATTAACGAAAAGAGGGTTTTGCAAAAAAAAAAAAAAAAAGGCCCGTAACTCTGTTTACACTGTGATGAACTAGGCCAACGCTTGCAGACAACAGAAATAAGGTCAAGTACAAGCGCTTTGCAAATTGAGGCAAGAAACAAGCAGCAAAAATAAAAAGGAAAAAAAGCGCAATTCAATTAATTCGAAGTGAATGACAGCACTCGGAACAATTCAAACAAAAACAAAGACTCGTCTTCTCGACAGGAAAGGCCGTAAACCAGAATAAAAAGAAAAACTACACAAGTTCACAAACCTCATTCCAGAGTGGATGCTGAGATGCTGCAGAGGCCGGTCGCAGCATTTCTCGTACCCTGTTCTTTATTTGACGCTTCAAAAAAAAGAAAAAAAAGAAAAACATTATTTGAGCAACTATCCAAGCCACGAGGAAGAACAAGGTCTTCATAATGTAGCAAAAAAAAAAAAAGAAACTTGCGTACAATGACTACATGTAAAAGAACAGGCACAGATGCAATAGAAAAGGAAAGGTCACTGCAATCACTGTGTAGAACACACAACAAGACTAGTACAACACGAAAATGCTATGAAATGAGCATTCTTTCGTGCCAGAGATAAATGTGTCCCGTCTGACGAATGAAGCTTCAAAAGAGACAGCTGCGACTCCGACAAGCTTTTTATTGCTCGACAATGAAATTAAGCTGGTGAGCCTGCTACGACAGACTTCAGCAAGGCAGATCAGTAGAGCAAACGAAACATATAAAATTAGAAACAACGATAGAAGACACAATAGTGTTTTGCAGTGAAATGTCAAACGTTCATCAGATGTCCTGCAAGGGTGAAATGTGCTGAGCCACGGTAGCAAGAGGTGGTTTAGATTTACATGCCAGACATAATGTTAACAGTGTCTATCTTATGTGATAATAGAAGTTCCTCGTTTAATTTACAACATTAGGTTGAAGCAAGAAAGCATGTGTGGCCTATTACTCGAGTATTATCACTACAGACAGCTTGATGGGCTACGAAATGTTATGCATAAAGCAAGCTGTTTGATGAAAATGGGCCCTTACAAGCGTGGTATGCACTCTCAATTTTCACATGATGCTCATGTGAATGTCTTGGTGAAATATTGCTCTCACTGCAGTATGCAACAAGCATTTATACTCTGGCAGTGACTTGAGACAGTCAAACAGTTATATACTGTCTCCGAATCATCATTGTTCAGCTAAAGATACATATTCACAAATTTACCTCGGTATTAGGTCTTTTTTCTTATCGCTATGTCAACCAACCTTAACCGATCTTGTTATCCTTTGCAATACTTTTTTGCGTCCAAATGTTTCAAAGGCATAAAAAACTATAAGGAAAACTTGCAAGTGTAAAGTTGCATTGCGAATTTGGGCCTAAGTGCCATCATATTCCTTCAGGAGACTGGGCTACTAATCCAATTCACTTAGAGCCTGCAACAATTGCAAACAATCGCAAATAATAAGAGTCATTTTCAGAAAGCAAAGCAAAAGTGGAAAAAAAAAGGTGAATTTCAGGCAAGAAAAAAAAAACCTTCAAGATCAGTTTCATGCCCTCATACATAACTGGTTTAAAATGTTTGAAAAAAGAAAACCGATTTCCATGACATTCAATCCCAGAATAAGTATTCTTACAGGAGGGGGAGGAGAGGGTATAATTAAAACCAAATACAGCAGATTCTCACTAAACGGAACCCGAAGGAACTCAGAAGATGTGTTCTTTTTAACAGGAGTTCTGTTTACTGAGTGCCAAACAGGGGTGCAGAATTCAGGTACGAAACCAGCTGCGCTGGAGACAGTTGTTTCATTTAATCAGCAGTTCCGTTTAACGTATTTCCATTAACTGAGAGTTTACGGTAATAGAATTTACAATGTCAAGCAAGTACAGTGGTCGAAACCATTGCCCTTAATGATAGTGATTGACATAATCACCACCAAGATTTTCGATCAAAGGAGAGCACAGCAATTATAGAACGCGTAAGCGATTCGCAGGGGATGGTCTACAAGGTCATCTTACCCGTTCCTCCTCCTGCTGCTCACTTCTGTCCAGTGCAGCATCTATGGCGTCAAAGAACTCGTCTTCATTAATCATGCTGTGTGGCCCCTCCTGCACAAACAAAAGTAAAAGACAAGTTGGTGAAAGTAACAATAAAATAACTGAACGTGTTTCTAATACCTTGCTAAAAAAAAGTTCTAATCTCAATGCACGTGTTTCAATTCAATGCCTCATACGTAAGAACTACAACTCAACAAGCCATTGTTTCTGCAGATAGCCAGCACATCAAGTAACTCTTTCGCAAGATCTTTGCTTGCGACTCTTTAGTGGTAATAAGAAACGACCTAGATAAGAAACAATGCAAAAGAAAAACAGCACGCATATATATGTATATATATACCATCAGCCCCGATGATACGATTCAGATTCTAAAGACAGCCGAAGCAGGTACTAAGCAAGCCGCCTAGGCTCTCGCCTTGAATGGAGCAACAGAAGCTCTCGCGGTGTTGGGTTGCACACACTGGGAATCCCACCATGTGCGGTAAGGGAATGCGTGTGGTCTCGAGTATCAGGCCTTTGTTCCTTGCTGTCGCTGCCTTATCCCCACGCCCCCTCCACTTGCTTTAAACAGATACGCTCTCCAGGCACAAAATTATTTTGCTTGTTAACATTTTCGCTGGCCACTTCTCTTGTGCCTTCAATGTCATCAGAAGGAGTTACCAGAACTACGAAAAAAAAAAAAAAAGAATTTTAGAGTTCCCTGAAATTTAGGGCACATGAAATGTCTTCTCCAGCTGCCAGCTTCAAAATAAACTTTGCATATAAAAAAAGCAGATTGTTCAAAATGTACTGATTTTGGAATATAGCTATGGCTCTGACCAAAGTTTAAATTTTCTTTTGCTGCATGCATCAATACAGGTTACTGCTGGTATGCGTTAAATTTAAGCCCTTAAAGCATTATGAACACTTGAACTGCCTTTAGGACATCTCACTGGCTACACAATATTGTCTCATATTAAAGTGTTTCATGAGGTTAAATGCCCAACGGCAAGGCTTCTTGTTAACCATAAAAAAAGTGTGATTCTAGTAAAGAGATCAGGAGAATCCCTCAGCCTTAAAAGGAGATCAGGAGAAACCTCTCAGCCTTAAAAGTTTTATAAGCCCGACAGTAAATGTCCAAATATGCTAATACTTATTTAACTGTACAGTGAAACCTCATTATGTTTATTGGGGACTACGAAGAAATAATGCATGATACAGGCCTAATGAAAAAGTAACATCCTCTGATTTTTTTATAAGGGCAACATACATTTTTACTGCACAGAAGTGTACAAAAGGACAGAATGCACACTACAATGGTCACTTGTAGTAATTGGTCAATGACAGTAGCAGAAGCAAGTACATGCCAAATGGTAGGGGGCACATAAGAATGAACCAGCACATAAATGGTTTTTTGTACATGAAATAACTGCACATGCATGGGTCCAAGAACCAAGAACAAGCATTGTGTGTCAAGCCGTGTTCAATACAGCTGTCGCTATCATGACACTCGCGATTTCTGTGTCTCTTGCGCCAAATGTATGACGATGGCTCCTTTCATAGCACATGCAGTCCTTCCTAGGTTTCCTTAAAGCCAGGTACATCAAAGCAGGTATGCATTGAAAACATGCATTGAAACATGAGTGCATATGAGGCTTGGTGACTTAGTTGTATTGACGTGAATCAATAAACGAATGGGTGAAATACATCTCACCTCATAGTCAGGTCCTCCAAGCACAGCTGGAGGCTGTGACCTCGCTTCGGACATGGCTTGCTTGTAGGCTTCCTCCATCTTTTTGCGCTTGTCCACCTCCTGCGTTTCCAGCCCGGCGCAACGTTCCTTAGGTGACACAAAAACTACATCCGAAGTCTTGGCACATTACTTTGAACAGGAGGAATTAGATCCCGCTGTGAACTCAAATGGGTCGACTAGTATCTCTTGCACTAAATTGTTTTGGATATCCTTCCACAGTTACTAACACGTAGTTGCAGCTATCGCCATTCATGAAAGTATCAAGGCATCGTCTAAACATACTGTGGGAATGTGGCATGCCAGTGAATTCAACATCTTACTAAAAGCACTTGCACAATGCGCATCCTGGTCTACTGTTAGGCTTATTTGAAAGAGTAAAAAATGAGACACAAACATGGTATCGTAATATCTGAGCGAAGAATTAAAGAACAGAATCAGTGAAGAGAACGAATGTCGCTTAGACTTTACGAATCTAAAATTCATAAGCCTTACTCGGACAAGCACTATCAATTATCATGGACAATAGCAGCACAGCTCTGTGGTGTCGACACACGTACAGGAACGGCGAGGTTGGTAGGTCTGTTGTAGCTGCTCACTCTACTAACCCATTGCAACACCAAATTTCAACTTAAGTAGCTGCACATAAGCAGTTGTACATACTAGATGTCAGTGACTATTCTTTATCTGCAAAACTACCTACTGCATACAAACTGATTTTACAGAGCAGAAAGTATCCCCGAGGAAAATGTCAAAGCTCCTTCGAAAAAACAACACTAGAAGCTTGTGAACGAAAAAATCTTGCTCTAAAAAATTTAGTAGACAAGAACTTGGAGGTCTTCCTTTTTGCACTTACCTAAGCAAATAATCATTTTGCAAAAATTCCATCACAATGTTCTTTTCTTCAATTTCTAAAGCATGTGCCCCTTACAAGCAGTGGTAGCAGACCCGCGTACGTCTCTAAATACCTAATCAGTACTAATAGGCGTACATTGCCTGTCTCAGCTGTAGCTTATCGGGCTGCACTAGATAACAAAAAGCAAAAACGAGGAAAAAAAAAAGAAAGAGCGTGCCAAGATCTCTGCTGAAACAGATAAATGAGGGGGAAAAAAAACAGCACAGAATATACGCCTGGCTGTCAGACCAACCAGAAAGATACAACTCTACACACGTGATGTGCATGCACGAGTGGCAAAAACTAATAAATCACACCAAGAAAAGAGCGAGAGAAAAGAAGAAGCTGTAGGGCATGAGCGAACCTCTTCTGCATCTTGCGGGTAGCAGCCAATCTGGCAAACACACAAGCAGGAACAGAATTTCGTCAGCTTGGTGGAGAAGCGAGCGCGACAGCACTGCGGTGCCATCTACCACCAACCAGCAAAGATCAGATTGCCTGCCCGACCAGACAAGGTTGCATATCAGGCCCAGAGGGGCAGGGCACACTCTTACCCCACCCCCTTCCCTTTTTGCAAGCCGTGAAACCAGAGAGGCCAACTATGATAACAGGCCTCCCCTCCCCCAGGACATGTTGACAGTTGAGAACAGAGGAGGAAAAAAACAAAGAAGCTCAAGCTGTAGCAAACAGGCAGGCAACTGCAAAAGTAAGAGCTTTTACCATGGTAGCATAACAGGGACAATACAAGGTGCTTCAGCTGACTTGCACGACATAAAAAACAAAAACAAAGAAAAAACTAGCAAATAGCTCTAGGCATAATGAATAGACACAGTTTTCTTTAGAGCATTATGCAGCAAGCCATGATATCTTTCCTAGTTAATCAAACTGTGTAATTAATAAAGGTTACTTAACTTTTATTTATTAACTTCACTACTAATGTTTCAATTGGTGATTTTCACAGCACATGTTCTAGCACTTGTTCAGACACATTGCAATGATTCATTTAAGCTACGATAATGGCCGGTCCGTCAAGCTGGGCGATTACCAAAGATTGCTTAAATGCTGATGCAGTCATGCCATGATGAATACCAGACACTTTCTACCGGTGCGAATGCAAATTTGGCACCTGATTCAGACTCATACAGGTTCCAAAAGTTATAATTCAAGCGTTTCCAAGGGCTTTCAAGTCCTTCGGAAAGGTTCTTCAAGGACGCAGGGAAGTACCCAGAGTTATAAATTAACGCTAGAACAATATTTTCAAGCACTATGGTTAGTTTTATCAAGTTAGAACACAAAAATTAGATAAGAAATGTCCAGTCTTGAGTATATTACACTATACTGCTGACATGCCCAAATGTTTACAGGATCAATGCTGCTCCTGGGACACTTCTTGAATTACCTAGGTAATGTAGATAATATTCTCCAGTACTCCTGCTGTTTTACCTCTTGCAGTCTTCTACAGACTCTTCAACATTACTACAATAGGGATGCTGTACTGAGTACTATTGATCTGCTGATGCATTTGAAATGGCAACTGATGTTTCAAAATTTAGATTTTTCTCATGCTGACTATTTGATTTCCGCATTTTTGAAAGCCTAGAGTCATCAAGCCTCTCCTATATTTGAACTCTGATGCAGACATAGATGCAAAGTGAGCTCTTGTCACTATGATCCATCACTTATCTAACAATTCACTATGTAAGGCCAACATAACTAAGCATCAGCAGCTCGATCGGCAGCATTAATTAGGGATCAGTCACCCTCACAACATTTTTTAAAACACAGGCTACATGGGCATAAAATCATTGAGCTGCACATTTACAGAGGCAAACATCGAATGAACATCAGCAGCTTTACTTCCAACACTGATCGCATGACAGGAAGACAAATATGAAGAAGAAAAAAAGTGCTGGAGGCGGAGTCTAGCCCGAGTATGTTCAGAAAGTGAAAGTAGGCGAAGGCAGAGAGAGAGGCACGGAAACAAAACAAATAGACAAGATATGAAGAACACCAATAGATGTGCTTGCTCACAATCAGGTTCTGAGGACATGTGCGCTCACAACATAGTATTGTTCCTAAAAAGGGAAATTTGCCAAATGAACTTCGACATACAATAGAAAAAAATCCCCACAATCAATATTGGGCAACATTTATCAAGGAATTCGAGGATTTTCAAGGAAAAAAAGCAATTCTAGGATTTTCAAGGACCTCGAAAATGTGCATTACAATTGCAAGGGTTTTCAACGGTTTCAAGGACCTGTACACACCCTGCTTATCATACACATCCCACATCACAATTTCAAGTGATAAGGTGAGTGCTGCCCAGCTTCCCCACACCTACACATCATTTACGAGTTCATTCAAGCTGCAGAACGCTGCTTGCCTGAGCAACATAGTGCCATTTACAAAAACTTTTGAAGCATCAAATTCTAAAAAAAAAATTTAACTTCCTAGCAGCTTCACCACACAGACTGAAATGTAGGTGTAATGGCCTACCAGGGTTCATAGGACCTGAGTGAGACGAAATTCAAGGGTTTTAAGAACTTTCAAGGACCTAACAAATACTTATCAAGAACCTAAAATAACACTTGAAGCCACAGAAAATGACAATACCACTTATGTGTACTTATGTACTTATGTGTAAAAATGTGTACTTTATTTTATTTGTACGGTTTGCATTATGAATGCATTTAAGTTACCATGGCCTGTAGTCGCATTTGTGTTCTCAATGTGTTTCGCACTGTTCATGTGACTTAAAAGGGCAGACTACCCCCTTGATGACACGTCGAATCTCTTCCCTCATGAGAGAAGACTTTGCCTAATGCGAGTTTGACGTATCCTATACAATCCACTCCCTATAAAGAGCATTGTAGCCATCTTTGCCAAGCCAAGACGGCTGGAATTTGAGCTTGGCCAGCATAGTTTCACCACAAGCGACGCGACTGCGAATATCCTTACACACTTGCACAGTCTCTACAAGAAAGCCAGGCTTAGCTTCGTCGTCGCTGCTGTAACCACACAAGTGCTACCACAACTACAATGTATTACAACACTGCAATACGGCTAAAAAAACAGATTGGATTGGATTGTTTGTTGGCTTGAGAGCCCATAGTTGCCAGGAACGCAAAGAAATCCACTAAAGTATGGCTGAACAAACTTCGATTGACGAAATTCAAGGACTTCTAAGGACATCAAACAAATTTAAGGGTTTTCAAGGCGTTGGAAATGGCATTTCAAAATTCAAGGGTTTTCAAGGACTGCTATGAACCCTGCCTACGGAGACTTACCTAAAGTGTCTCTCAATTAAAAGCCCTTTTGTGCTAAAGCTTTTACAACTGAGAGCACGATGTACATCAGTGTGTGCGGCAGATGAAAAAACACTCACCCGTTCAAGCTTTCGTTTCCAGGCTTCTTCTCGTTGCGCCATCAGGTCGATGCAGTGTGACAGAGTTGCTAGGATGCCCGCAGTGGTGGCCTTGAACGTAATGGCTTCACCCCGGAAGTCGACAGGTGGAAGCATTCCCGGGACTGCGGGTGACCGCCGCTCGCGACACCGGTCACCACCCTCTGCATGTCGACATCATCGGTCACTTCACTGATGCACCGGTGACGTTGGGAGAAATTTGGCACAGACAGGCATAAAATTTGGCAAGGTTTCCCGTTTCAAACCAGCTTTAGCTAACGCTTAGGCAATAATGAAATGACTACTGAACCTCTGATTGACCTTTGTTTTTATAATTTTATAGACAAATTAACGAGGTGCATCACAGCTTCATCTTGACCAGAACAACAAATGTTGGAATACTGTCAAAATTCAGTTTCGACTTGAATGAACTGCCACAGGTTAAATTTTAGTTTTTGTAACGCACTCAATTGATGCCGAGTAGGAATGACCTCCTTTATGAACCTTGTGCCACAATTTCTTTTAGTGAAAACATCACAGCTACAAAGGGTCACCATAGGCAAACATGTCATGCAAGATGCTTGAACATTCTCAGCTTTTATGGAAGAAAATTAACATTTTCGCTTTGGTACGAAAAGTGTATGAAAAAAAATTTGCACAAAAATTCAGGAACAGCATGCTCTAATATCATGGCCTAGAGTTAAAAATGCAGCCACTATAAAAGCTGAAAGAAATTTGTGTTTAGTAGCGCGAATGCAGTGCTCTTAAATTTTGACATTCACTACCTGAAAAGAGAGTTCCACTCCTTTGTTCTATGGCTTTTACTTCAGCTATAAAAGTGACAAGAAAAACTTCGAACACGAACCCCGTCTCTTCCCAAGCTTTTTTACATCTGTTCCCAACCATGTTCAGCATTACTGTATGACCAACGCACACAGAAAACTAAGATGAACAAAAATGTAGTTATAATGTCGGATTCAATTCAAAGTGTGTTTGAAATTGTATCCTGAAGTGGCCCAGGCATAAAATGACTGCCATGAATACATTTGACAATATGATAAGGCTAGAGTTTGTCTGTTACTACTGTTGTAATAATACTAAAAGCATGAATAAGTTATACTTCTGCTTTATATCTGAAACAGTTCAATTCACGTATGGGTGGCACTCAAATATATGGCTTATTTACAATGCAATTTCCCATTTCCAACTTGAAAGCTTCTCTGCATTTCGTCTTCACTACATGACAAACTAACGGGTTTACTCTAAGATGATAGGCATGAGGAACTAGTGTGCTGCATCAGCCTCCCTACAAATTCTTTACATGCTACAGCATGTTACCACTGAACTATACTACAAACTACTACAAAAGCAACGAGAGGGCCAGCACATCAGACAAATTTTTTGATAAGGCTTGCATATATCCACTGAGAGAAAAAGAAAAATGAAATGCTCCCTTCTGTACAGACCAAAAGATAACATATCACTAAGTTATTTTCATGCGAAACACAAGCTATCAAGAAAGAGCAACGACAAGGCCGTGCCAACAAAGCACTGGCAATCGGACTTTGATTCACGAGCATGATAAGATACAATACCCTTGCGAAGAAAATAAGGGAACAACACTAGACTGGCCTGCACTGGTGACCCTTAGCTGTCTATGTTTCGTAAAGAGAACTGTGCGCAAATGCAGAACAGTTTCCAATGAGTTATGAACCATCTGAAATCCCATAACATTTGGTACAATATTTACTGATATAAGGCAAAAAAAAGGAAGCTGACCTGTAAGACGACACAACAACCTAAACCAGTGAAACGAGTAACAGGAAAGCATAGGGGACACTATTTTTGGTGCTCAACTGTAGTGTGATAATGATGTAAAACAAGGGGAATAAAAGTGGTCAAACTAGCACTCTTTGAGTTGGTCTAATCTGCACCCAGAACCTTCGCATTACACATCCAATGCTGAACCAATTGAGCTTCGATGAAGAGCACTCCTTTGTCCACTTTGTGAAGTACATGTATTTAATCCCCGGGAATGTGTGCGGCAGTGTGCGCCACTGGTAGCCAAGGCGGCGAGTTTGGAACACTATTTGCCCGAGGGCATCCCATGGCTTTGCATGAGGGGTACCTAACCAAAAAACTGCCGTATGCCAGCTAAGGCATCAATGTGCTGGAATAAAGTTTTTGACTATGGAGGTGATGAAACCTAAGTTTTATGGAAGGCTACAGTAACTCATAAAGGAGCATAATAGGAAAAATGGGGCGTTTCAGCTGAAAGACAATGTACAGCAACCAGACAATAGGCACCATAGTATGCAAGCACAGGACTGAGCCTCACAAAAGCAATAAGTTGAAAAAAAAAAGGTGCCATGCATAATGAATAGCGGCAGTCATACTAACTTGCAATGTGAGAGAGCTTTTAATGTATGCATTGACTGTAGTCAAAAGCTACTGCCAAAAAAAATGCATGCTGGCAAACTTTATGTAAATGCGAGCTTCCAGATCTTGCAGGAAAACGAAGTTTAGCAGCAAAAAGAGCTTATGAATGATGGTGACATGAACATAAGTAAAGCTTGGTGCTGCCACTGTGAAAAAATGACGCCAGCTCCTTTGAAGTAACATGTGCTGCTACTTATTAAAAACTTTTTTTTTTTTCATTTAATGTTTCCATGCATACTAGGCGCGAATCCCTCCAACAGAACTACTTTAGAATTTCGCGCAGGCTGTCTGGGCACATACACACATACACTGAATCTTCAAATTTCCCTCTATGTCTGTATAGAAATGAGAGGTCAGCAAATTAGCCTCATGAGTCAATTAACTCACACATAAGGTCGAGCCAGGATTTTGAGCGAGTTCGAGTGAGTAATGTCCAGACCAGAAAAATTTTGGCGAGTCTGAGTTCGAGAGAGTACGAAGCATAAGATATATTTTTTCAGTGTGCCCAAGTGAGCTCGACATTTTTTGCCGACGTATAATAGACATTCAAAAAATTTAATCTTCAGACCATGGGAAACATCACGCCATGAAGATTTTCAAAATGCTATGCAGGCTCCCTTCAGTGTTCGAAAAGCACTGAGACTTTCCAAGTTCTGTGCAAACTATTGTGTAGTATTATACCTGGATAAAAATGGATTTATGAAAAGCAAATGACACGGGAACATGTACTACTGACACTAGCATAGCATGACTCAAAGAAGACAATGGGTCTCCTATGTTTAGTGGCAACATGCTTTGCCAGATGTTTCCAAGGCAATGCTGCTGTAATCGATGTTAAAATTGAATAATATGCTAGCAGCAGGATTACTCTTAATGGTAGCATACTTTTCCTTTGCACTAGACCCATAATTATGCGTTAGCTGAGGCACAGATTCTATGAAGCTAACAGCTGATGTTTTGAACACGTAGCCATATTTTCATACTTCGAAATGAATGAGGCAAATAGGAATAAAATGGGCCATAAAGAGCAGTTCTAGCAGAATGTTGCCACAACTTGCAGATTACCAGATTAGCAACTCGCCAGGTATGGAATCGCCATGCATAGAATGGAAGCAGCTAAACAGCACTGAAATGCAGCAGCTGCTGCCTGGCAACCTTCCTCAACAGTGCATTGGTCCCAGGCCTAGAAAATTGTGCAGAGGCTTAGTGGCTATCTTAACTTGCATCTTAAGACATGCTAAAGAACACCTTGCTCCATGTAAACACCACAGAAGCTCACCTTTACATCGAGGCGCCAAGATCTCCTGAGTTTTTGATGCTGCCTCTTCACCTAGTCCATCCTTCATCGTCGGGCTGCCAGCATGGCCATTCTGTTCTTCGGCTGCACCAAAAAAATTTTGGCACTCTTCACTTTCTGGAAGCAGTTACTCTCCTCGCATCAACAAAATGCACATTTCTTCAGAAAGCAATGGCGGAGAAATATTGTTCTTTGCATAATGAACCCACTTTTTTTTTCCAGAAAAGTTGATGCCAATTTGGGGGGAGTGTTCATTAAACAGGAAAAAAAAGTCACGGAAGTTATACAAACGAAAACTTCGCATGACGGTTTTGCTTGTCTTGAACCGCGAAATGCACTGCGAATCCTTTTCTCAGCCCGAAGCTTTTCTTGTTTTCTCTCGTAACAAATGCGCACGGATCGATGTCAAAGCGTCGTCCAGCCGGTCGGCTCCTGTGCTCCAGCCCATGCTCGACCAACGTGAAGTTTAAAACCAGCCGTGTTGATTGCTTACCAGCCGAACGTGCCCTGCGCAGCAGGTGTCCAACTAAGTTCACTATGACAAACTCGACAGCAAAAACGCAGCGTTGGATAACTGTGCACAAACGTTGCTGTTGTGCAACTTGTCACCAGCGCGGCTGTGCTTTGCATGGCAGAGGGTGGGCACGTGGCGTGCATCAACGCTGCGCGCCCATGGTCTCGGAGGCCATGTGCTTTGTGTTTTTGCTTTGTTTTCTTGCTGCTGCGCTTGCATGGCGCTATAAGCAAAGAGGTTTTCCCTGCATTCTATAGATGACGCTGTGCCTTCAAAGGCGCGACTTTTAAATCTTGATTGACGTCTTACCAGCTTGCTCTGCTCGCAACTGTTTAGTATGATTGTTAAACTATGCTGTAACTTTTATGGCATCATTATTTTGTGATATAATGACTTGATTTCACATTGATTTGATTGTCAATGACACTGGCTATCATACCAAAATAGAATAAACAGATGCATCAATTTTTTTTCTTTTTTCTAGGAATAAGGTGGGGGGTGGGTTTATTATGCGAGTTGGTTCATTACGCGAGTAAATACAGTAAAAGCTCGTTAATTCGAATTCCACGGGAACGCTTAGCGATTTCGAATTAAACAAAATTCGAAATAATGAAAGTGAGCAAAAATGGCTGGATTTCAAGGGTGGGGGCACGAAAAATATTTATTGGCCAAAAAAGTCGGCGATGACTATCTGCTTCTTTTCTCTGAATGCCACAGCTGCGGCTCTCTGTTCCAGCGCGCGGACGCGGCGCAGGGAATCCTCTTCCCCCTTTCCAAAGCTGAAGAAGAGACGCGCCACATTAAGTGCCTCTATCACCGCAGAAGCTGACGGGCGCACAGGCGCTTCGTCATTTTCGTCTTCCTCACCTTCTGGCTCTTCAGCATCAGGCTGCGCACCGGCTACTTGAGCGATAATGTCCTCATCAGTCAGGGCACCACACACCAATGCACCGGTGTCAACTTCAGCTTAATCGGCAAAACATACGCCCCGAAGAGTGTCGCGCAATGCCACTGGCATGAGCTCCTCAGCCCCATCTACGTCGACGTCACAACTATGCTGCGCACTTTCAGCTGCAAATCCACTGTGGCGGAAACAGTTTGCGATTGTGGTCGCGGTCACCTGTTCCCATGCGCGCACCAACATGTGCATGGCAGTGAGCAGCGTAATGCCGAAGTACTTCCTGTCGCCCGCGCACAAAATCATTCTCTTCAGCACGTGACGCCTATAAAAGCACTTGATGTTCCTTATCACACCCTGGTCCATTGGCTGTAGGGCCGCAGTCGTATTTGCTGGAAGGAACACTCACTTTGTTGCTCTCAGCTCAACGTCGACTTTGTGCGCCGAACAGTTGTCGACGACAAGAAGAACACGTCTGCCGCCCAGTTCCATTCGCCTGTCGAATTTCAGTAGCCACTTCCTGAATAGGTCACCTGTCATCCAGGCTTTCTTGTTTGCGGCATACTCCGTCGGCAGTGATCGAATGTTTTTGAAGCACCGTGGCTTGAGTGCTTTGCCATTCACCAAAAGGGAAACCTTTTCCGTACCGGTCATATATGCGGCGACCAGAACAGTGACACGCTCTTTGCTGCACTAGCCGCCGGCACAGTTGTCTCCCTTGTAGGTGATCGTCTTGTCTGGCTGCAACTTGAAAAGTAACGCTGTCTCGTCAGCGTTAAACACATCCTGTGGTGAGTAGCTCTCCAAGTACTGCTGCAGGGTGTCGCTTCTCCAAGTAGCGCATGTTTCGGCGTCCACTTCCTTTGCCTCGACGAATAACGTGCGAAATACGAAATTGTGCCGCTTCCTGAAACGATGAAACCATCCCTCGGAGGCGACAAAGTCTTCAATGTCCAAGCGCAGGGCGAAATCGGCTGCCTTGGCCATGATGATAGGGCCGCTCAATGCGATACTCTGGGCACTCATTTTTTTAACCCAGATAATCAAAGCTGACTACAGTTCCGAGAACTTCGCCGTCCTTAGCCTTTTTCGACTGGCGCCAAAATCCTCTGCTTTATAGGCGTTTTCAATGGCCATCCTGTTGCATATGTAGGTTGACAACGTGCTCGGAGGTATGCCATGCTTCCTCGCGATTTCGTATTTGCTCGAGTTCCCTTGGTCAACCTCTCGCAAAATCTCCACCTTTTCCTTGACAGTCTTCACGCAGTAGTTTCCCTGCGGCATCTTGCAACTTCGATGCGGAATAAGACGGCTTGACGGCATGAACGAACAACCTGCTCGAGGAACAAAGTGACGCTGCCGGGTGCGGCCTAGGACTGCTAGGACTTTTCCGCCGACTCCTCAGCGTCCCGCGTATACAAGTGGCGCCAGGCGCTGAGATAGCGGGAGGGCTACGAAAAAAAAAAAAAATTGCTCCCTGGATTTTGGAGGCCATACTTTGCTCGCCCTTTGCTCGGAGGCCACTTGAAGCTCGAAAAAAACCGGTCGTGCCACCTATCCTTTGGCCGTAAAAGCTTCCACTAGGGTTTGACGATGATGACGCTCAGCGGCGTGCGCTGTGAATTATCCGTAGAGGCAGCAATTTCTGTTCAAATTAACGAATCGTTTTACACATGGTCTCCTATGCACTGCGGACCGGACTGCGGCGATCATTTCGAATTATCCAAAATTTCGGATTAATGAGGTGTGAATTAACAAGCTTTCACTGTACGATACTAAAAGAGTTTTAAACTTAAAATGCAGAATCCTCACACTTAATTTTAGTCGAAGACATAAAATGTCATTACGAGCTTATGCCACCTCAACAGCGAACACACCCCGAGGCATATTTTCACAGGTACACAGAGCATCTGACAAACCTAACAAAATACTTGTCACCGTGAGTGAAAATGAATTACCCCTCATCCCCACCCAGTTTAGGACGTTAGGAAATTTCTAGAACAAGAAGGAAGTTTATTCAGGAGCAGAAGGAACCATGTTTCAAAGCAGGTTTCGAGCTAAAACAAAATTGTTTTAGAGCAGTGCAACAGCAAGTGTACTATAAGTCATTAGTGTATATCCCCATCAGGGTATAAACATAAAGGCTGCTCCAATGTCAACAAGAAGACCAGACCAGCATTCAGTGAGCATGCATCAATGAGGTAGTTAACACAATATATTGTCCTTTTTGCTTCAATATAACATACAGGATGTGCATTGCTGTGAAGCATTAGTGAAAGAGCTGAGCAAGACATTGGTTTGTGGAAACACCGGATCTGAGACACTGAACAAAGCGAATGCCCATAAGAGAGGTGTTTATTGCAAGTACATTCAAGAGCAGTTGTAGCACCCTAAAGGGTGCAGCCCTGTTTTTAGGAATGGAGTCACATTGAACTACTATCAAGATTTCACATGTTATGCAAATAAACTAACCATTCAACATTCTGAGAGTGGAGACTGATTTTTGCACAATGTCTGAGCGCAAAGCGCCAGCACATGTTTGAATAGGCTTTAAGAAAAAGGAATGATGGTAAGGTTTTTACCAGCGCAGGCGTCAAAGTGTGCTTGAAGGGTGTCAACTTGACGACACAGAATGTCTCGAAATGTCTCCATCTCGAGCAGCTTCTCTCGAAGACCTCGGCCTTTCTTCAAGGAAGACACACTAGTTGAGCCCAGGGAGAGTGCTGAGCCGTGGCGTCGTAGGCTGTTCTCACTTCCATATGCAGAGTCAACCTGGATATTTATGAGAATGAAGTTCGCATGTCTAGCAGTCCAAATGAAGATCTCTATCAAGAATATCTGACTTCCAAATCGTCACATCATGCATATCTATCAATGCCCTATTACAGACAATGGATGCACAAGCAGAAAGATGCATGCCATATAAAACATCCTTCTTACACATGTTCCAGCCTGTGAACTATAAAACTTGTGAAAAAAATGTGCAGATGAACAAGAGAGGGGGGAGGGAAGACCACATCAAAAATTGTAAATGGTTGCCTTCAAAGCATACAAGACTTATTGCCAAATAAGCAATGATTCACATTTATATTCAACAGAAAATGCAGAATACAGCAGAACTTTGTTGATAGGTAAAAAAAATGCAGAAAATAAACGTATGATCTGGGAAAACGTACGATTCGAATCCAGCAAAAATTGAGGCTGACAAGTCTATATAGAGGTGTAAGGACAAAAAATTTGTTTTCTTCAAGAACACTAATTTTCTGCTGCTGCCTCTTGCCCTTGGACAAGAAAAGCTCCTTCTACACACATTGTCGACCCTTGTCTGCATATTCATCGTTTTTTATGCTAATTAGGCTTTATTAAGCTATGTTGCTAAGCTAAGTTTACTGGCGGAACGTGGGAGAGGCCTTTGTCCTGCAGTGTACATAATCAGGCTTATGATGATGATGAAGCTTTGTAAGCGTTCAATGCCTCGTCCTCCACCTCCTTCGATGTGTCGCCCCACACCACCTTTGGGACAATCTCGTGACACTTTGTGGCTCGCAAGTCGGGACATTGTCGTCTACCGAGACGAACCCAGAAAAGGGTGCATTGGCGCCTGTGGAGAAGAATTCTGCATCTACGTCATCATCAGACGCACATGCCACAGTTTTCGTTGCGCTCTATAACCTATGATACCAGCTGCTGCCAAAGAATATTCAGCTTCACCTTAATCGACAAGCGCTTGCGCTTTTCCACGGCCATGCTGAATGCAACTGTCTGGAATCGTTAACGTGCAGCCTTGCACAGGGCCAGACTGGAATATCCAAAAATTTTTTTCTCCGCCACGTAGCGACAATCACTGAGGCCCCGACAATGGCCCTTATTGGGCGGTGCTCGTTTCTGGTGGAGGTTACCCTGCAGAGTTGCAGACAACCTGATAACACAGTGAGGCAGGCATCTCGCGCTTACGACATGGGGATTAGCAAAAGGAAATAGGTGCATTGCATTTGCATCTTTTCCGCTGAAAGGTGTGTGGCTAATATACTTAAATGTTCATGGCCTAGTAAATCTTCTGAAGGAAGAACATGCTGGCAGACGCCAGCAGCGCGTGAGACGGGGTCGGGAGGGGAGGCAGGTGTAGCGGTGCGTTGTGTAGGAGGCAGGTGTAGCGTAGGCAGCACGTGCGTCTCATGCCGAAGCGATGGTTAGCTCTGTAGTTTTCTCGGCTGTTTTAGCATGGGACAATAGCATTTTCACGTACTGTGCTTTGGATGAAGTCTTTGCAGTGCTCAGCCAACTTGTGCCAAGCAGCCAGCTCAGAAAGAAAACCACTGTGCTACAGAAAATAAAAGGCTTTTCTTGAAAACGTTTGAAGACTGACAGCTCAGACAGCTCTGTGTGTGGTTCACAGACAGCTGCAGGAGTGATGGGAGAGGGCGACTGGGCAATCGAAGAAAGCGCAGAGGGGACGATTGAGTATGATTTGGAGAAGACGCAAAGATGAAGGGGTGACAAGTGCAGCAAAGAAACTGCCGTCGCCGCGCGGCAGCACTCTGCCACTTGGTGCCTCACAAGCACCCGAGAGCAGTTTTTTCCCCACACCTGAACGATAATTTTTGCCCGTAGAACAAATCATATGACTGCAGTTTGCTGCAATGCCGAACATTGCTGCTGAATAATCGTATATTCCGGTAACGTATTAAGCAAAACATATTAACACATAGCGTTACGGAGGCATTTCTAGTTTTTGCAATTCGAGCATAGGAGCCACAAAATCGTATTAAGCGGGAACATGCCAATGAGGTTTTACTGTACGTGCACGATCTATAGAACCAGTGGAGGAAACACCACAGCAACTAGACCAGTGAGAAGAAAAACGATGGAGAGGGGGACACCATCTAGAATTTTCGCTAGCTTCGAAGCCAGCCGAACGGGCGCCTCTGAAGAAGGGACCTTATTGCTCCCGAAACGTTGGGTCAGTTTATAGGTTTCAACTTAAACATAGGAAACATTGACTAAAGGTGGTTCGAGCGTTTATTTTATTCATATGCATTTTCACCCAGTCAGATAGATCTCTGTCAAATATGTTCACCTTTAAATAAGTAACATTGCCTAGATTTGTTGCACACTTCAAAGGAGTACTGACAGGAATTGACACATTTTCTGAGTGTTGCTCTAAATAAAAGCACTTGTGTTAAGAACCTAGAAGGCATATTCTGGTGCCTGAAAATGCATTGAATACACTTTAATACTGCTAATATTACAGAAAACAACAACACAAAAAGGCCTTTATTTTCGGCAAAATGGGGCGGCTTGTCATTGACATGTCAGTGCAGTGGGCATCGTGGGGAGACAGCAACTTGCAACGTACTAGCGGCAGATCTGTCATCTGCGGCGTGATGAACATAAACAACTGAATTGTTGTCCAGCGATTTTGGCAACTTAGGCTCCATGCAGTATGCTGAGTTCGCAAACTAAAAGGAACTGTGTCGACCTGTCGTGATAATGACCAGAGCGGCAGGGCTAGCTCACAGATGCTTAGTGATGAAAACATTAAAATCAAAGTAAAAATATTTTATACATGTTTTCTGACTCCAGTATGTGAAGGGCGTTAGTTAATACTACATACCAAGGCAATGAAAAACGTCCCTTTTGCAATAACTCAAAATTGTGTCAGCACTCCTTTAAAGGGTCCCTGAAACGATTTTTTCACATTAGTATGTTTTTGATTAAACCCCAACTGTAGCAAATCATTGGCACCATAATTCAATCAAAACACCCCTCATTAATGGAGCTACGAAGAATAAATAGGTACCCTCCTTCTCCGCTCTGCCTTTCACCCTCAACTACCTCAACTCTTCCTTCGAGCACTCTGGGCTAAGCTCCGCCTTCACGGGGCTTTGAAGTCAATCAGATTAGCAGCCACAGTGACGTCAAGCGGGCAGAGTACCGTAATTACTCGAATCTAACGCGCACCTTTTTTCCGGTTAAGCCAGTTCATAAATTGCATGCGCGTTAGAATCGAGTACGAACAAAAAAATTACGGTCAATCTATTGCCATCGGCAAATTCAAAATGGCCGCCCCCTATGTGCGTCGGCATGGCGCGTCGGCCATTTCTGCCTATGTGCTTCCCATGTGCAGCACTTCGTACGTGTGCTGAGGAGTTCATCTAGTAGTGCATTAGCATCGACGGCGTGCAAGGGCCGACTACGAAAACTCGAGTGCACCACGATGCCGCTTTTAAAAGAAAAGTCATCGCGTGTGCAGAAACGGACGGAAATCGGGCCGCATCGCGGTCGTTCGGAGTTCCCGAAACGTGCGTGCGGGACCGGCGGAAACAAAAGCAGAAGATTGTCGACAGCAAAGCTTCACGCAAAGGCTTCAGTGGACCACAGCAGGGTCGGTTTCCGCAAATTAAAGAGCTGCTTGGCGAGTATGTACTTGAGCAGCGAGCGGCACAGCGGCCCGTGACGACAGAACTGCTCCAAGTGCGGGCTATGCAATTGGTCTTAGAAAAAGGTCTAATGCGGAGCCAGTTTAAAGCGAGCAGGTGCTGGCTAACTAACTTTATGAAGAGGAAAGGCTTTTCCCTCCGAAGGGGTACATGCATACGCGAAAAGTTTTGCGGAGGAGTACGATGAAAAGCTTCACAGTTTTCAGAGGTTCGTTCTAAACTTGCGGTGCAACAACGGCTACATGCTTGGGCAAATTGGGAATGCCGATCAGACGCCTCTTTACTTCGACATGCCTGGCACCACAACCGTCGAGAAGAAGGGGGCGAAGCAAGTTCGCGTGCTGACATCGGTCCACGGTAAAACTACAGTGACGGCAATGCTCTGTTACATGTCAGATGGGCACAAGCTTCGCCCGTACCTCATATTTAAATGGAAGACGCTCCCGAAAGAAGTATTTTTTTTTTTTTCGAGTGGTGTGATCGTGCAGGCCAGCGAGAAAAATGGGTGCGCGTTGCAATCGATGTCTTAAGTTTTTTTTTTTTTTTTCGCGGTGGAAATCGGGTGCGCGTTACAATCGAGGGCGCGGTAGAATCGAGTAAATACGGTATGTTTCTCGGTGAATGGGCGATTGAAAACGCATTTGACCAAATCACAGCGATCTACAGTGATTTGCCTCTTTAAAACATAGTAATAAATTACAAAGCTTACTCGGAAAGCTCAAGATGGTTTGTAAATGACCTTTGAGACTTTGTTTACCAGCCCAATGTGTTTGTACACTATCGTGAAAACCATTCCAGGGTCCCTTTAAATGCTCTCTCCTTTCATCCCAAAAGAAAATCTACAGCTCATGCCTTTCAGCACTTTTCTTTATTTTTATTTGAATTCATTGGCTCATTTTTGAAGTAATCGCAAGTGCACTAGCATAATTCTGTAGTGTGTGATTCTAGCGCTACAGAGCGTGGGCTGCACAATGATCGAGCCACTCCGTCTATAATGTAGTCGTACCAGTGTATCCGAGAATTCGCTAAGAGCGGGCAATTTTCGGCTGTCTAAAATGTAACTGCCGCTTCCTTGCCGCATGCAATGCCATAATATGTGGCCCATATGTTCACGGGAGTTTCAACCACCGATTCGGAGTGTTTTCTCACCTAGTTCAACAGTGTTGCAGGGCACCTTCAAGCTGTGTTTGCGACCGTGACATCAGTTCAATATATGAACAGCGTGACTTTTCACTGCAATCTGTATAGCTCTTAACATGCTCTTACAAGTTCTGAAGTGATTAAAATGACTTTAGAATTCTTTGATGGTGGCAACTAGGGTAATGTTAATGTCACGTATGGTGCGAGTTGTGCTGATTAGATGGCTCAACCAGGGATGCAGACGTAGAGACACGAAACAAACATGAGATTTGTCCATTTGTTTCATGTGTACTTGTCAATGAGGTCCTCCAAGGTGTAGCAACTGGCACCCCACAGTCACTACCAAGTGTACAAGGGAGAAAAGCTTGATCACATCCCTCATGGAAGGAATAAGTGAAACAGGATGACACCTTCCAAAAAGATCTAATTTCAAGTTTTCTTCGTGTTCCCATGATGCTGCATATGAAACAATAGAAAAGATTCTTGGGACAGTTTTTGTAAGTCTACGGAAACAAAGTCATGAATCCATGGATATTACTTGAAGTGCTGTAAACATTTATATAAAGGTTCTCCAAAACTTAGGAGATACATACTATACGACTAACGAGACTGACCACAATGTTTAGCCGAAGTGTTCATGCAGGAAATACCCAGGAAATGTAAAATAGGTAAAAGCAAATCAATATCCCCCAAACAATATTATTGACCTGTTAACTGTTAGATCAATCACAATGCCAAAAACAGTGATATTGATATTAACACACCTTGTAGGCATCCAAAGCCTCGACCCACAGATTTCTCTCCTCCGGTCCATCTGCTCGCAGGTACCACACGCAGTCGTTAACGCTGACGTCGAAACGGCACTCGTCAAACTCGTGTGGCTGCGGAAAGTAAGTGCACAAGGCTTTACAATGTGGAACTCGTTAATTGATATCTCGTAACATTCCCAATTAACCTATGGCCTACGCTTGCAAAGAAAGATTTGTTCGCATTTTTCTCAGTTACGGGGAATCACAGAATACGTAAATGCAAAGCAGTACACTTTACATACACAAGCCTCTGCATTCCGCACTTCCAAATTATTTAAAGTTTTCATTTAGCAGATGCCCTTTATGAATAACTAATTTGACATCAGAAGCAAATAAAAGTGGTAATATGGTGCTATTGCAAGTGATGATAACAATGAAAAGTATTAGCATTTTTAACCGTTCCTTTTTTTTTTTTCAATGTGTGTGCACATGCTTACCAAAACTCTTGCATATATTAACTTACAAAGACACAATACAAATCATTACAGGTGTTCTGCTCCTCATTTTTACATCAACAGCCTTGCATAAGTTGGTTCCACAGCTGCATGGTGAATCCCATGACTGCTTGAATACTTGAAAGATTAAAAAGTGATTACCATACGAACTCGTATGTAACCAAAGCTTTAGTTACTCAAAGTCGACGCTTGCATTACGACCAAATAATGAAATCACTATTTTCGAATCTTGAACTACAGCCTCCTAGATTTTCCTTGCTTCCCGGATTATCGGCAAACACATGGGAAGCGGCTGTCGTCGGAACTAAAGCTGTGGCGCCACTCACGTAGGGCTGTCCTAAAAAAAGTTAAGCTTTTGGTGCTCATTTGCAACAAAAAATGACCTAAAAATATTGAAATAGCAAAAATGCATTTATATGTTACTGTATTATCAATTTAGCAGTTTAAAGCTGTCGTTGGTGAATCTTTTGATGGGGGTGCCACTTGCGTATGGGTCTAAGGCACGGTTTTTGAAAGTTCATGACGATGTGCGCTTGTATGAGTGACTGAGTGACGATCCCACAATCATGTGTAAGCAATTGTGAAACAAAGTGGGAATGATTGTGATGGCTTGCACCAGGAGCACAATCATTTTTTTTGCCAGTCAATGTGGTCAGAAAAAAAAATATGTGTATTTCGTTAAACCACAACGGGAGAAATTAAAAAAAGAATAGAAATGCAAACTTAGGTTCAGCTGTATTATAAAGGACACCATGGGTGAAAATATTTTGCAGTCACCCACTACGACGACATTTAAAATGGTGCCATAAAGGACACCATGGGTGAAAATATTTTGCAGTCACCCACTACGACATTTAAAATGGTGCCATAGATTTTGCACATGAAACGTTTCCCACATTGCTATGATCCTCGACAGGTGCACAGTAGACAGTGTAACAGATAAACGTCTCTTTTGAAGCATTGAAAGACATTATTTTTAGTACTATAAAAAGTAAAAGAATCATTGCTCGTCATAGTTCCCACACAAAATTTTCCACACAGTGTCAAGTAACATTGGCCACTGCTTGCTCCTTCCTTGATTGAGACCTGCACTCGGCGTCGTCAACAATGCAGCAACAGTGAAGCCTTTGAAGAGATATCTCGCGCAAAGTGAAGCCTTTGAAGAGATATCTTGCTTTTGAAGAGATATCTCGCTTCTCGCTCTATCACATAGGCTCCTTCTAAACTTAGCTGCCTAGCGACCGATTCTAGTGGAAATGTCACAACACGTCAACATTCTACATCACAGCAACGCTCTTTTGTTCTTTCTACCGGCTCCTATGCCTGTCAATCTTGTAACTTGCAAATCATGGCATTCTGGAGCAACAGACTGCACGTAATTACTGCACATCAACGTGATCAACCTAAGAATGTTTAAAGTAAGTCTGCTTACACGAATGCATAGTTCAGATAACATACTACAATTTGAAATAAATCTGCTAATTCAGCAAGCATAAACAGGGTAAAAAAAAATGAACTTGTACTCTCAAATTTTCATTACGAGCTCTTGCTGTCCTTCGAAGTGCAGCAGCAGCAAAATAGGTAATATTTTTAGCTGCATGCCTGAAATGCCAGAGTTTAAACGTTTCTCTTGTTTGTGTGTGTTTCATAGGAATGGTAGCACAACTTTGTAAATTAGCTCAATTGATGTGGGAAAGAAAATTGAGCGTGACATCATGAAGCGCATGTCAATTTATTTTATTTGAAAATATTGCAGTAAAATGTATATCTTTTTTTTTTACAGATCAGGTAAGCCCATTCACATGCTTAATCAACTTGCCCAAATGAAGTAACTATATGCTAAAATATACACTAAAAAGTGAAATTTCGAGGTTTTGAACTCAAAAACACGATCTAAATTTGAAGCATACCACGATAAGGTACTTTTATGTTAATCTTGCACACTTTCCTTTATATAAGTAAACTAGCATCATCAGCATTTTGCCGCATAAAAATGTGGACACTGTGGATACTAACTGATCCACAGCTGAGCAGAGCAATGCTATATTTGCCCACATGACAAGCGTGTCCAGACAATGAGATGACCAAACAATAGTACGTTTGTCAACATTTCTACTGCAGCCAGCAATTCCTGTCCGAGCTTCCCACAAATTTTTTTTTTATCATTTCTGCAGAGTCTCGTACACCAAAGTGTTGTTTCTCGAGAGAGAAGGATATACAGCATGCAATGCATTGTGTACTGCACTAGCTCACTTAAAAGGCTCAGATATTTATTTCTGCGACTCCAAGCAAAACAACACACAAACTTAACTTGCAGGCTGGCATCTTCCAATAAAGTGTGCACACAAGGAATTTCCCGTTGTGGAACTTTCAAATACGACAAATATGGAATTTTACAAATAACACACTAAAACATGAAGGTCAACAATCGCTGCATTGTTGATATCTGCAAATGGCGACCATTTTTTTGCTGACAGCTGAACTGAGGAGGAGAAGATACAGAATCACGTACACGCGTGATATTGTTTTCTTGTAACAAGAATTCTGGTTGAACATTGACGCGTCATAACTATGATCGTGTTAATCCGCAGTTTTTGAATAGCGTACGCAAGGCTTTGCGTTAGCGTTTCGCGCCACTGCGCATGCGTCGTACGCTAACCGCTTTCGGGCTCCCGTTAAGTGAGCGGGTGACCGCAGAGCCCGCAAAACTTAGCGTACGCTATTTTAAAACTCCCTATTTTTACTTGGGCGGGCGGCACTCGGTGTTCGTATTGAAACAACAAACAAGCCTGAGCAAGGACGGCCTTGCACGAGGCTTGTTGCGAGATTACCTCGACTCAGTAAATGAACAAAAAAAAAAAAGTATGTCGCGGTCAGCATACACTGAACGTTTTTAGTTTGGCACTGCAGTCACATGTCGCAGACGCAGAGAGGGGGAAGGGGTACATGTCTCGACTGCTGCGTTGCCTTATTTTCGTTTTTTTTTTTTTCATGCAGATGTTGGTGAGATTCAGAAGAAGATTACGTCTTTTGCACTTTTTTTTTTAATGCGTCGCGACTTCTTGTTCGAGTACCTGTTTCCTCTAAGCAGGACGCCGATCCCGGTAAAGAAAGGAAAACACAAGATTCACGACAAACACTCGCCTGGTTTCCTCCGCAGTTCGTCATGAAACGCAGAAGCGATGGCAGGGGGGCGTTGCCGAGCAAGATGACACTTTTGTCGCGCAACTCGGGCTCGACAGCGCAACTCTGTAAGATGTTCGGCCGCAACGCAACATTCAAGAAAGAATGCGCAAAGTGCGAGAAATCATGGACCTGCGTCCACCAGAGAACGCATCGAGAATCTTGCTTGTTTGCATTATCTGAGCTCTATGTTGCAATATAAACACGTCAACGCCTCCCACGAGCGCTTCCACGACGCAGTGACTCATGCCGGTATTGCACGATACCACCGAAAAACACGCTACGAATACACGAACACGGAGAGATCTCGAAGGTGTTAAAATTAGATTAGGTATAAACGACTGAAACGGTCTGCTTGCTTCGAAAACAAGCGGCTGACGCACTAAGGGCGTCGCCGAGCAAGACGGAACAGGATCCGATAATCTCATCCGCAGCGGCGTCGAACTTCCGTGCTGCGGCATCTCAGACCACGAAATAAAAACTACTCAGGACCCTATCCGCACCGCATCGACGACAGAACGGCAGAAAATCGGGGGCAATTAGGCCTAAAACTCGCTGCAACCCACCTTGACCGTAGCCTTGTAAATGCTGATCGCGCCACGACACCCAAAAGCAGTGTCATTCTCGGACTTGTAGTAGGACAGGGTGCCATCCTTGAGCACGATGAATCTGTCCTGCCAGCCGTGGATGTAGTTAGTCCATTTGCACAAAGTTCCTTGCAGTTCGTGGGGACTGGTCGGATGCTCGAAATCGTCCTCGTCATCGCTTAAATTAATGCTGTGGTCGTCCATCATACTTGAAACTGTAATGGCGGTCAGTCCCGCAGTTGGCAGCGAGGGCGACGGCACTGAAAAGTCAATCCAAACAGGGTCTCCGCAACGAGACGACTGTCTCTGCCTTGCCTTACATGCCTCGCACACTCATATCGCCTGTATCGGTCGCCATCTTACACTTTCGGTTAAACAAATAAAGAACTAAAACACACTAAAGCAACAAAGTTGCGGCCAGAGTTGCCAGACTTTCTTGCAATTCAAGGCCGTAAACGCCAAGTCAGACCGCTATGGCGGCAAATTTCAAACACCCGTAGTACGTTCGAACTGCTCACCGCCTTTGCGTTCGCTACAGGCGTGAAAAAAACATTTCACCTTCTTTGGCTCCATTGTATGTCTAATGAAGGCTGATCTCTGCAGTATACCAGCCCAAATAACACCGCGGCACGTGTCTGTAACAGGAACCGGCATTCTCTCACCTCTATGCTGCCTCCAAGCCATTTGTTTTTGCATAGTGATGCGCGCAGTGTGTTTAACAGAAGCTGTGTTAGCTATGTGCGTCGCACAAGCTGTGCATAAGGACGCGTAGATCTCTATCCGCACGAAAACTCAGCGTAGGTGTACCAATGCTTCGAGTATACACGGAGTCATTTTCCTTGATCGTCGATATTGACTTATTTCTCCCCTTTCCACCGGCCGTCCTCTCGGTTCAAGTCCGCACGCGCACACGTTTTGTCCTTGGTGCAACGGCAAGGTCTCGGCTGGCGTTCGTTCTTAGATAATAATCACGCCCAGGGTATACAGTATCGTGAAATAAATCAAGTGCAGATGCTGTGGAGCAGGTGAAACTGCTTCTTTCAAGCATTTGGTCTAGAATTTACGAGTACCCGTAATTAGAACACAGTCTCTAAATCTCTACTCGTGCCGAATTCGTGACATGGACCTCGTTTTGGCGCAGGTTCAAGCTGAAGGGATCATATGCTTTCAGGGGAATTATATTCACGCAATGCCCATTTATTTGCATGAACACCAGAGCTGAAGTGTTCTTAATTTTTATTACTAGAGAACACCCGCCATCAAGGTCTAGTGAATACGGTGCCCTACTACGGACCCGCAGGTCGCGGGATCGAATCCCGGAGGCGGAAATGCTGAGGCCCCGTGTACGTTAAAAATTTAGGTGCATGTTAAAGAACAGCAGACAGTCGAAATTTCCGACTCCTCCACTACGGCATCTTTCATAATCATATGGTGGTTTGGGGACCGTAAAACCCAGATATTATTATCTTATACAAAGCGAGCATGGTGAAAAAATCAGAGCGACGAACAGAAGAAACAAAAATTCGTGTTGGGGTTCAACGCACTCCATCTTATTGCGTTTAAATTCTGGTTCGAAATATGAATAAATAAAACACCTGTGCAGCCAAGGGGTTCAGATACCCCCCCGAAAGTGTCTAGTTTTGCTTGTGTACCTATGTCCCTATACACCCACACATAAAAACGCATGCGCGAACATCATAATATAATTGAATCCCCCCCCCCCCCGCCCATTCCACTGGATTGATTTGATCGTGAGTTGTGTAGCTACCGTGGCTACACAACTCACGAAGAAGGTAGGGGCCCTGTCGTTTTTCTGTCCCTGTCATCCTCCCTGCTTAGCTTCCAGCGCTTATATATATATATATATATATATATATATATATATATATATATATATATATATATATATATATATATATATATATATATATATATATATATATATATATATATATATATATATATATATATATATATATATATATATATATATATATATATATATATATAAAGAGAGAGAGAGACGTTAATACATATCTCTGTCCTTGCTAAGGCGAGAAAAGGAGGGAGAGGGGTGGGCGTCGTAGCAGCTGTTAGTGGGGAGGCATGTACCCTCTGGTTTTTAACCTGTGGGAGCGACGGCCCCCCTCGCCCCGGTGTCGGAGCTCCTGTTTGTAACTCCACTCGCGCTGGACGGATTTTAAAAACTTTTGCGGTGTTGAATTCGTGAGGCAATAAGCTCTTCCAGTGAATTCAGTCCATGGTTACACGGTGGATCTCAATGATGGATCTCAATGAAATTCACTGGGTAGGCTCATTCGGACGTTTGCGCCACTCATGCCAAACTTCACGCTTCAGAGTCTCGCAGATCATTTTCAAATTAATTTTATAGCTTGCCTTCAAACACTCACCTTGCTTGCCATAATTAATGGCAACATTGTGTGTGTGTGACGTTGATTTTTGTATGGCGGAAGTGACGGAACTAATGTGCCACTGTTGCGTCTGCTTGTCTGCTATGGATTGTGCGGGTTTGGCCGGCACTTCCTTGGTTGAGCGTGCGATTCTCTTTTCCGTGTTGGTGGGCGTGCGATAGGTGGCAAGTGGTGTTGCGTTGTGGGCCGCACACGATTCGCCACATGTTCACCATAACATCGTGAGTGTTTTAGCCGATCGCTGCGCACGGATGGATGGATGGATCGGGCGGTGGCTAGCGCCACCAAGCCGTAATACCTAATGAACAGAAAACTATAATTATTTTTTTTCCTTAAAAAAAAAGAGTTTGAGGATTCGTACTTTGCAGTGAAGAGTTTAATTTTCACTCGTGCCTTGACTTTAGCCACCAATCAGATAACCTCCTTCTAGTTAAGTCTACCCGCTTAAAGTCTATTTTGCCCTCCCGGTCCCTAAACCCCAGTGCTTTGAAAAACTCTGCGCCATCATCCTGAACTATAGGGTGAAGCCCTTTACAGAACATTATCAAGTGTTCGGCAGTTTCTTCTTCCTCTCCACACGCACTGCATACTGTGTCTACCCCTTCGTATTTGGCCCGATATGTCTTGGTTCGCAGTACTCCCGTTCTGGCCTCAAACAGTAGAGAACTACCCCGAGTATTATCATAGATCCTTTCCTTGGCAATTTCCTGCTTAAACGTTCGATAGATCTCTAGTGCGGACTTCTTAATCATGCCCATTCTCCACATGTCAGTCTCCGTTTCCTTCACTTTCTTCTTAACCGATAGTTCTTTTTGGTTTGGCCACCTGCTGTTTTCTAAGTATTTACCAGTCAACTTCCTGGTTCGCTTCCTCCATTTCGTATCGACATTCTTCATGTACAAGTAGCTGAAAACCTTCCTAGCCCAACGCTCTTCCCCCATTTCTCTCAATCGCATCTCAAATTTTATCTTGCTGCTAGCTTCCCTGCCCTCAAATGATGTCCATCCCATATCACCTTGTACTCCCTGATTTGGTGTATTCCCGTGAGCTCCTAAAGCAAGCCTACCTATTCCACGTTGCTTAATTTCTAATCTTGCTTGAACTTCTGATCTCATGCACAAGACCGCATTGCCGAACGTCAGCCCAGGAACCATGACCCCTTTCCATATTCCTCTCACAACATCATACCTATTGTAATTCCACAGTGCCCTATTTTTCATGACTACTGCATTCTTGTTACCTTTAGTCGTCACATATATTTCGTGTTCCCTCAGATACTCCGTCCCATTGCTTATCCATACGCCCAGATATTTGTATTTATCTGTTATCTCTAGCGTGACCTCCTGTATTCTAAGCTCACTATCTTCGTTGTCATTGAAAATCATGACTGCTGATTTTTCCTTACTGAATCTAAAATCTAACCTATCTCCCTCATTACCGCAGATGTCCATCAATCTCTGCAAATCTTCCTTGTTGTTGGCCATTAGCACTATATCATCTGCGTACATTAATGCTGGTAGTGCCTGATCAATAAGTGTTCCTTGTTTGACTAAAGAGAGGTTGAAGCCCAGTCCACTTCCCTGTAATTTGGCCTCTAATCCTTGTAGGTACATCATAAATAATAAGGGTCACAGGGGGCACCCCTGCCTAAGCCCCCGTTTTACCTCTGCAGGCTTGGATACCTGTTTTTCCCACTTTATAACTACCTTGTTACCTTTATAGATACCCTTTAAAAGATTAGTGACTACATGTTCCACGCCTAGTGTGTCCAGTATTCCCCACAATTCCTCTTGAACCACGCTATCGTACGCTCCCTTGATATCCAAAAATGCTAGCCACAGGGGCCTGTGTTCCTTTTCTGCTATTTCGATGCACTGCGTCAGTGAGAACAGATTGTCTTCTAACCTCCTGTGTTTCCAAAACCCATTCTGCAGTTCCCCCAGCACCCCCTCATACTCTATCCACGCCTGCAGTCTTTCCTTTATAATCTGCATCGCCAGCCTGTAGACCACTGATGTCACTGTTATAGGACGGTAGTTGTTTATGTCAGCTTTGTCCCCCTTTCCTTTATAGATCATGCTCATCCTGCTAAGTTTCCATCCATCGGGGACTTCACCTTCGATTATTTTTTGCTCACTGCCTCCCTCAAAGCCTGCTTAGACTTCGGACCTAATGTCTTTATCAGCCTAATTGGAATGCCATCTGGTCCTGTTGATGTACTACTAGGAACCCTTTTCTCAGCCCTTTCCCGCTCTTGTTGTGAAAATGGAGCCATTGCACCACTTGATTCGTCCTTGTCAATTGTGGTGCACAAAGTACTTCTTTGTTGAAATTTTTCTGTCACTTTTGTTCTTATGTATTTAATAGCTTCGTCCCCTTCTAGCCTAGCACCTTGGGCTGTATTTATAAATCTCTGCTCTAGGCTCGTCTCATTTCTTAGGGAGTTTAGATGGTTCCAAAATTTCGCAGCTGCCTTTCTGTCTTTTTTATGTACTTCTGCCAGCCACTGAGCTCCCTTCCTTCTAATCTTTTCATTGATCAGAAGGGATGCATCCCTTCTACAGCCTAGAAAGGTTGCCCATTTTCTTTCAACATCATCTGTCGGTTCACCCCGCTGCTTAGCATGTCTGTGTTCCCTAGAGGCTTCCTGACGTTTTGCTATGGCTCTCTTAACTTCCTCATCCCACCAACTTTTGGGTTTGTGTCTTCTTTTCCGGGGTGACTTGTCACGCGTCTTAGCAAGCTCTAGCTCAAAGAGTCTAATTAGATTCGTGTATGTCCACACTGTCTTATTATCCTCCGTGATTACTTTCTCAATTTGTTTAGTGGCTATTTCAATTTGCCTTTCTGGATAAAATTTTTCCTGTAGTTGCTCATCTTGTCTCCTTCCCACTTTCACTGCTCTTCCAAAACTTAGCTTGATACGTTTGTGATCGCTACCCAGACTTCTGGAGCCACCTTCATCTATGTGCATTCCCCTGAGCTTATCATACATCCTATGTGACATCAATGCATAATCTATAGTCGACTGAAGCATTCCTACCTCCCATGTTATTTGCCCTTCACACTTCTCGGTACTGTTGCAAATGATCAAATCAAGCCTTTCACACATATCCATAATCATTTTGCCTGTCGGGTCGGTATACCCATCTATATCTTCTATGTGCGCATTCATGTCTCCTAGTATAATTATCTCGCACTCTCTTCCTAACTCCTGAATGTCCTTTGATATACACTCTACCATTGTCTGGTTTTCCTCTCTGGCCTTTGCTCCCGACCACAAGTACACGAAACCAAGGAGTGTCATTTGACCTGCCACTTTCCCTTTTAGCCATAAATGTTCCTTGCACTCCTGCTTGAC